ATTCATAGTAGTAGTATTTGTAGCAGTAGTATTCGTAGTAGTATTCATAATTAGTAATAAGTAGTATAATAGTATTTGTAGACTATTTCCATTTCAGAGATTATGGTTAAGAAGTAGTATTAGTATTTGTGGTTGTATTTGTAGTATTATGTATAGTATTTTAGTATTTGTTGTATTAGTAATCATAGTCATAGTATTGGTAGTAGTATTCATAGTAGTACTCATAATAATAGTAGTAGCAGTAGTAGTAGTATTCATTGTAGTATCTGTAGTAATATTTGTAGTATCTGTAGGATTATTTATAGTATTCGTAGTATTCATAGTAGTAGTATTTGCAGTAGCACTATTCAGAGTATTCATAGTATTCTTAATAGTACTTGTAGTATTGTTCGTAGTAGTAATAGTATTTGTAGACTATTTCTATTTCACAGATTATGGTTAAGAAGTAGTATTAGTATTTGTTGTAGTATTTGTAGTAGTATTTATAGTATTCATAGTAGTAGTAGTAATATTTGTAGTAGTATGCGTAATAGTAGTAAGTAGTAGTAGTAGAAGCAGTAGTATTAGTATAGTACAATATATTGCAATCAAAACAAAATTTAAACCCAAATTATTCAAAATATTCTGTCTTTTTAAAGAAAACTATTGTTGTACCTGTTATGAAAATGTACAGACTTTGTTTATTAGCTTATTAGCTCATATTTCTTCACAACAGAATCCTACTTTTTAAACATATAACTCATATTTAATCACAATAGTTGTCAAAAAACATATATAAAATCATGCAGCAGTAGTAGCAGTAGCAGTAAAAAGAAAAAAAACTAACTTTACACATAAATCTTAAATGTCATCCATCATTTTCCCGATTAGCATAATATTAGCATAATACTTTAGCTTAGCGGCTAACACACGTAGCATATCATTATCATGCCTCACAGCTGTTACGAGGATCACAGCCAATGACCTTTTTGCTTTATGAACGTCTCCATTTTTTAATTTATTTTTTATTTTTTTACCCTTCCCTCCTCATTTTTCTTCCTCCTTCTTCCTCATCATCTCGTATAATTTTATTTCCAAAACACGCCGTCTTCCAAATATTTGCTTTGCTTCTTTTGAGTTGTTTTTTTTTTAATCCACTTACTCCGCACTGGCAACCATTTCCAAGCTTTTCAGTCTCCGCTTTTGAAAATCGCCTGAAAAGCAAATCAGATACTTCTTAGACTTGTGCGAGTGGGTGCTAAGTGTATGTTTGTGCGTTTGTGTGTGTGTTGCGCTATGAAGAAGAAGAAGATTGTGTTTAAAAAAGGAGAAGATAAAGAACAAAATAAGGCGTTTTTTTAAAAGCGCTCTTATATTGCGCAAAATTGACTCTTGTGAGATGTAAGCTGTGTTATAATGTTGTTACCTCCTCAAAAACATACCTGGAGTTGTGTTTTGTTTAGCGTGACCAGATTTTCAAAATAAAAAACTGGGACGTCCCTGTTTTTTTGGTGGTTGGTAATAATAAAATGGTAAAACGAGAGCGTAATTAAGGAAAATTGTTATGTAAAGATTATTCGTGACTAACATGTGAGTCAGTGTAGTCACATTTTCTTTGGTTTTTGTCGTTTTTAAGCAGCTTTTCTGTATTTTAACTAAACAATTACTATTTAAGCCTCTCTTTACTGTTGGCAGGGATTAAATTGGTTTAAAATAGGGACATTTCTTGTATAAAACTGGGACAAATCACTGGTTTTGGAACAAATCGGACCTGTAAATTGATGTGATATTTGCCTCCATGAAAATAGATCAGTTTATCTTACAGTGAAAATGTCCATGCAAAGCAACAGCATCTCCATGGAGAAAAGTTACACAGTGCACCTTTAAATGTGTGACTGAAACAAAACACAATGTTGTTGTTTTTTTGTACATGTTTTTTTTATGAGAAAACAACATTATAACATAGATCAGGAAAAACACAATTCTTTGACAAAGTAAGTAGTAGTAGTAGTAACAGTAGTAGTAGCTTTTGTGATAGTAGTAGTAGAAGTAGCAGTAGCATTAGTAACAGTAGTAGCAGTAGTAGTACTAATACCAGTAGCAGTAACCATAGTAGCAGTAGCAGTAGTAGTAGTAATAGTAGTTTTGTAAGCAGTAACAGTAGCGGTAGTAGTAGGAGTAGTAGTAGTAGTAGCAGTAACAGGAATAGTAGTAGCAGTAGCAGTGCAGTAGTAGTAACAGTAGTAGTAGTAGTAGTAGTAGCAGTAGCAGTAGTAGTAACAGTAGTAGTAGTAGCAGTAAACAGTAGTAGTAACAGTAGCAGTAACAGTAGTAGTAACAGTAGTAGCAGTAGTAACAGTAGTAGTAACAGTACCAGTAGTAGTAACAGTAGTAGTAACAGTAGTAGTAGCAGTAGCAGTAACAGTAGTAGTAACAGTAGTAGTAGTAGTACAGTAGTAGTAACAGTAGCAGTAGCAGTAGTAGTAACAGTAGTAGTAACAGTAGCAGTAGCAGTAGTAGTAACAGTAGTAGTAACAGTAGCAGTAACAGTAGCAGTAGTAGTAGTAGTAGTAGTAGTAGTAGTAGCAGTAACAGGAATAGTAACAGCAGTAGCAGTAGCAGCAGTAGTAACAGTACCAGTAACAGTAGTAGTAGCAGTAGCAGTACCAGTAGCAGTAGTAGAAGTAGTAGTACTATTATAGAAAGCCATTGTTCTTTAAATCATTTTTCTTGTGGATGAATAAAGATTGTCTAAGCAGTAGCAGTAGTAGTAGTAGTAGTAGTACCAGTAGTAGTACCAGCAGTAGTAGTAACAGTAGCAGCAGTAGCAGTAGCAGTAGCAGCAGCAGCAGTAGCAGTAGAAGTAGCAGTACTATTATTGAAATCCATTGTTCTCCGACAGTTTGTGGCGTATTGATTGGCTGGATCTTTACAGTGAGGTGGACAAACAGGAGCAGACGCAGAAATCGAAATGGATCGTGCTGCCTGCGCCGTTTAATTTAGCCCTGGGATTCATGTATTATTCACACGGTTAATAAAAACAAGATAATCTGCCGGATTAATTGCCATAGCGATTTGGATTTCGCAATATAGCGTGTGATCCAAGAAGGATTCTGGGTAATCGAAAGGGTCTCGCGTGCAGATATGAGAGAAATCTGTATTGGAATGAAAATGCTGTTACTTCAATAAAGATTTAATCGAAGTAAAAATAAGAAGTACCTCAATATATTTACTTTATATTGAGTTTACGTGTATTATTTGTGCCAGTTCCAAGCCCCAGTCAAAGATACACTGCGTAACATTTCTAGTGGAGGGTCTTGCTTTGTCTAGAATGTTCAGATCTGTGGAGAGGCGCCCCTTTTCACAGAAGAAATTATTGTATTTTTAAACATATCCATCTAGCATTTATTTGTGTTTCTATTGCTTAAAGTTGTACTGTGGAACAGCAATAACATCTCCATGGAGACAAGTACCAGAAAAGTTGCGCAGTGCAGCTTTAAACATAGAGGCAGGGCATCTGGTGTAAAATCATCTGGTGTATCAGTGCATTTTGACTTTGACTCTCTTGTCACCATAGCAACAGGAAAAGCATTGTCGCTTTTGGGGTGATCAATATGTGGGAAATATTGTCGCAGTTTTTCTTGTTTTTTGTCACGATTTAAAGCCACAGTATGTCACTTTTTTTGTCAATAATAGGCTAAAATTTGGTTTCAATTTGGTCGTGTTCATTGCGCTCAGAAGGGGCTCGCATCTCCACAAACCTGACTCTTACCTGGCCTTTTATTACGATTTAAAATGTAATAAAAGCTTAGTACATGTTCTGAGAGTTCTTGCTACACTGTGATTGGCTAAAACCACCTGTCACTCACTCGGGAGCTGACCAATCGGAGAAGAGGGCGGGACACTGACTTCACCAACTCGATTCAAATATAGTTATAACAGTTTTATAAGTTTTACAAAATTGATTAAAAAATACGCAGGACTTACTTGAATTATTTCGAGCTATTGACGCGAAAGTCATTACTAACCTACAACCTTGGGCGAGATCTCAGAAAGCTAAATGCATTTTATTTAATAGTCTTTTCAATATTGAGAAGGTTGTCATGTTTTTCTCCTCAAATTCCCTCATGGACCAAAAACTGTTAAATTGGGAATATTTTTGATTAAAAAATAAAATTACTGAATCGGATTTTGTAATATGAAGGTGCATTGTGTAGCTTTTCTAGTCTGGAATGTTTCACAGTGTGGCTTTAAAGCTTTCTATCTTCATGGAGACCAAACCAGACCAAGTTGCAGGTCAGATCTGTGGAGAGGCGACACAGTTCACAGTCAGAATACATGTTTTTCTCAGTATTTTTGAGCTTTAAAACCAGCTGTAATTGAATAAACGTAAGGTAGAGGTGTTTAATGTCACACTGTGCAACATTCCAGGCAGAGAAATGACGTATCCATAGAAACAAGCCTCCACCAGAAAAGTTACACAATGCAGCTTTAATAATCTTAACAATATTGAGAAGTTTGCCACGTTTTTCTCGTCAAATTCCCTGATTTTACCCACGATGGACCCTAAACTCTTAAAGTACACTGCGTAATTTTTTTGTTGGAGGTCCGTCACCTGCTTGTTTCCATGGATACGTCACTGCTCTGCCTGGAATTTTCCACAGTATGACTTTAAACAGCTCTACCTTACATTTTTTTTTCAATTACAGATGGTTTTAAAGCTCAAAAAATACCTCGAAAAACAGGCTTTTTGACTGCGAGTGGGTCGCCTCTCCGCAGATCTGACCTGTAACTTGGTCTGGTTTGGTCTCCATGAAGATAGAAAGCTTTAAAGCCACATTGTGAAACATTTCAGACAAAGCAATAACACCTCCAGGGAGAAAATTTTGAGAATTTAACGAACCCTCCACTAGAAAAGCTGCACAATACACGTTTAAAATGGGGACACTTTAATAAAAAATGAATATTACCGCACCAGAGTTTGTAATTTATTCTTTTTTTTTTTTATTATCTTCTTACAGGACGGATTCCCTCTGAAGGCATTTGAAAAGGAGGAGAGAGGAACGCAGGACCAAGCCGAAAAAGAAATCGACAAAATTGACAAACCTGAGAAGACTATTCGCAAAATGTTGTCTAGAGGTACCCACTGTTCACTACACTTTTTATGAACATGTTTTAATTACTTTTTAAAAACAAAATTCCCCCTTTGAGACACTTGTGAGAGCCGTGCCAGTAAACTTTTGTAATCACAGCTTTGCAGGAAAACCCAACATGCACCTGGGGCCTCATTTAAAAACATTGACTTTTTCTTATGGTAAAATGCGAAGTTATGGTTTAGTAACAGCAAATGTGCATATACATTCAATTTTTTTATTTTTATTTTAATGGCAGCAGGGGAAATAAATTAGAATATGAAGCAATGTAGAGGTTTAATAAATAAAATAATAATAAAATCGATTCATTTTTCCAGTCACTTGAAGTTTTAAAGCACTCAGCAGTTGTTTATAATCTTCCTTAAAGAGCTCATAATACGCATAGACCTGGAAACTAAAACAGGACTAAAACCAGGACTAAAACAAAACAGGACTAAAACAGGACTAAACCAGGACTAAAGGACCAGGACTAAACCAGGACTAAAAACTAAAACAGGACTAAACCAGGACTAAAACAGGACTGAAACAGGACACAGGACTAAAACCAGGACTAAAAACAGGACTAAACCAGGACTAAAACAACAGGAAACAGGACTGAAACAGGACTAAACAGGACTGAAACCAGGACTAAACAGGACTAAAACAGGACTAACAACTAAACAGGTCTACAACTAAACCAGGACTGAAAACCAGGACTAAACCCAGGACTAGGACTAAACCAGGACTAAACCAGGACTAAAACCAGGACTAAACAGGACTAAACCAGGACTAAACCAGGACTAAACCAGGACTAAACCAGGACTAAACCAGGACTAAACCAGGACTAAACCAGGACTAAACCAGGACTAAACCAGGACTAAACCAGTCCTGAGTGTTGGGACAGACCAGGAAGTGCGCCCGTGTAGACTGTCCGGTGATCAGGACTGAGACCGGGACCAGACCAGGACTTAGACCAGGACTGAGACCAGGACCAGACTGGGACTGAGACCAGTTAAGTTCTGTTTTAGTCCTGGTCCAGTCCTGGTTCAGTCCGTTATCCACTTTTTCATTTTGGTTTTGGAGACAAATAATGAAGAAAATAGCAGTTTTTTCGTTTTCTTATTTTTGGTTTTATTTTGAAAAACGAATGAACGAATGAAACACGGATTCTTTAATTCCCGAATAATAATTGCGTAAACGTTTTTATTTTGCTAAACATCGTCCACTCAATAAACCCAAGTCTATAACACCACTCAACATTATCACCACTCCTCCCTGCTATAATTACGCCCTCACCGCGTCGTAACCTAAACATGTATTTCTTTGCTCTCCTCGTTTGTCCGAAATTCCTCCTTTTTTCACCCTCTTTCCCCCCTCTTTTGAAATGGAATCTCATTATGGGCCGATAATTGGCGTGATTCAGTTAATTGCGACAAGGCTCGAGGTGTGAAGTAATTATCTGTACTCCCAAAGGCCAGAGGAGGTGTCACCGGCGCCGAGAAAGCACGCTCCAATTATAGAAACCAGACGAGCTTACGAAGGGGGGGCCGGGGGCTTTAAAGGTGCGCTTCGGAACTTTTCTGGTAGAGCGTATGTTTCCATGGAGATCGTATTGCTTCGCCCGAAAGGTAGGGATGTAACACTAACCGAAATATCGTCAAAAGTCGCCCTGTAATACCGTGGGCCATCACAATATATCGAATTAAACGTTTCTTCGCTTAAAATTCATTGTTATGGCGCAAAAACAGAGAGAACTACATAGACCATGATCCTTTGCTCTGTTTCAGTCCAATCTACATGGTGAAATATCTGTTTTTAGGCACTTTTAAATCTTAATTATTTGGATTATGACAGAAAAGTAGCATTTTCGCAAGTAAATACCTCTTCAGTTATCGTACCGTGAGATGCGTATCGTGAAAATATCGCACCAAGAGATTACGATTTTGTTACATCCCTGCTGAAAGGTTTCACAGTATGGCATTAAACTCATCTATATTGCATTCATTCAATTACATAATAAGTGATTTACTGCTCGAAAAATTACCAAAAACATGCATTCCTACTGTGAGTGAGCTCGCCTCTCCGCACATCTGACCTGTAACTTGGACTAGAGTCATTTACCACGTTCACATGAGTTATTAATTCCGAATAAAAGTGATTTAATTCTGAATAAAAGTTAATTCCGCTTTAAAAAGACCATGTAAACACTCTTAATGAAAATGATTATTCGGAATTTAACTTAATTCCGAAGTACGTGAGTGGTTTATTCCAATTTTACAGCCGATTTAATTCATTCCTCGATCATGTAAAGGTTTATTCTTCTTAAAAATTATTTGGGTCGCTCTTCTGACGTGATTCAGATGATCCGGCTCCACCAGTTCTCGCTTCGGACTTTCCTCCACGTCTCTTTGGATTTGCGAGCGGGATGCGGGAGTGGGCTGAGGTAGAGCAGCCGTCGACTCAGTTTGTCTTCTTCCTCCCTTCTCCGACACTCTTCCCTTCTCCTCCTCAGCCGACAGACGTAAAGCGTGATGACAGAATTATCATCGGAACGACTGCGGAAAAAAGTTTGGATCGCGTTTGTGTCCGCGGCGTAACGACAAACCGAGATGACAGGAAAAGCCGGTAGCAGCTGAAGTTTGTGTTTTCTTCCGGTCGACGTAAATACATTCGTGTCTCTGTCCAATCAGAACCCTTCCCAAACCCCAGACGTTGAGCAAAATTAAATAAAGCCGATTTAACGTGTTTTCCATGTAAACCTCAATTCGGAATTATTATTTCCATGTAAACTCGAAGGAGAATATTTTAAATCCAAACTATTTAATTCAGAACAGTTCAAAAAACATCATGTAAACGTGGCCAGTGTGGACTTGCCTCCATGGAAATAGATCAATTTAATGCCATACTGTGGGATATTCTAGACAAAGCAATAACATTTCATCACAGTTTTGTCATCGCGTTAAACCTAACAACAACTAGCATGCTCATCACACACTTCCTGATACTTCCCTCAAATGAATTAATCAAAAATGTATAAAAAATTTTGATATTTACGGCTTTGGGAGACATTTTTACCACTTGTTTCCATGGAGATGTTACTGCTTTGCCAAGAATGTTTCACAATATGGCATTTAAGTTAGGTTGTTTATCGCCATGGAAACAAGCAGGGTAAGCTACAAGGTCAAATTACAAGTCAGATCTGTGAAAAGGCTGCCCTGCTTTCATTAAGAATACATGCAGTATATACATTATTTTTTTGTAATTCAATAAATTCTAGGTAGTTTAATGCCTCACCGTGGAACATTCTAGAAAAAGCAATAACATCTCCATGGATACAAGAAACAATCACACAGTGCACCTTTAATTAAATAAATGAAACGTGTTATTAATTTTGAGATTAACAATTATACCGCATTAACTTTTATTCCGAGTTTAACCAGTCTGAGCCTTTTCTTTTCGGTTATTTTTTTTCTTTTCTGTTATTTTCTCTCGTGTATTTTCGGCGGTTGTCATCGTAGTTACGTGACCATTTTCCCTCTAATTTCTTAAATGGCTCTGCTGGCAGTCCTTCAGCGTTTTGTTTGTCTCATTTGAGCACAAAAAGCAGCTCAAAATGGTGTCCCGTCAACACTCTCTCCCCTCTGTGAAGTTTTGAAGCGACACGCGATTTTTCCATTTTCCAACAAATGCAGAGTGACAATTTGATTAATTTGCATATCAATATTCCAAACAAGCATTTTATTAAGTCTTTATCGTTAATTTGGGGAGTTAGCAGACTGGAACAGTTCAGAAAATTACATTTAGAAGCTCAATTAGGCCATTTATGACTACAGTGTCTGGTTTTCCTTATGGTAATGTTATAATATAGACTTCTAATTATTTCTGCTTTGGTTTATTAGGAAAATATCTAAAAAAATAATTGCTTGATTTTGATTTCATTCATTTTTTTAAGGGCCCATATTACACTATTTTCAGATCTATATTATAATGTTGTTTCCTTATCACAAACAGACCTGGAATATTGAGGCTGAGCTCTTTTGTCAAACTAAAAACACTTTTTTTTTTTTTTTTTTTTTTTTTTTTAGATTCCAGCCAAGACTACACTGACTCAACTGGAATCGACCTACATGAGTTCCTGGTGAACACGCTAAAAGGCAATCCAAGGTTCGAAAAACACAAACAAAACAAATAAATCTTGTATTTCAGCATTTGTAACTTTACACCAAACTGTATTAAATTATCTTTTTAATGACGTCTTGTGCGGTTTCATTTCAGGGATCGAATCATGTTACTCAAACTGGAGCAGGACATCTTGGACTTCATCAGCAATAACGAGTAAGAACAGACCCGTAACAACAATTATATTAATTAAAAACGAAAAATATTCCCAGTGAAAAAGCCTTGATAGTTATAAATGCTCAAATGAATACTAAAATTTCAAAAACTATTTCAATACTAAGAAAAATGCTTCATGCTCAATAAAAAACAAATAAAGACCAGAATAATAATAAAAAAGTATTTTATTTAGACAATATAATTTAATTTTCATCATAAAACAAATGTGATCTACTCTGTCTGAAGAACTGTTACTCAAATTAGACTTCGGACAATAAGTCACACCAGCCAAAAAATACGTAATGACGAAGAAGTAAACATATATAGTCACACTTTTTGGGGGAAATTTATTTTATAAAATCAGAGACCAGGAACCGACATTTCATCTTAAAAAGCAAGTTCTAGTAATATAACAACAGAACAGAGAACAACAGACTGTTAATGTCACATATGAACAGTTCTTCAGATAAACTATAACATAAACAACAGAACAGAACAAGTTTAACAAACTCTCCATCTCACTTCAAATCACTAAATCCATTCAATTCTTCATCCTCGGTGTCACTTCTGAACAACTCCACGACCTCCGGAGGTAAACAGAGCGCCGCTTCCTCTTCTGTGTAGCTGTCGTCAGACTCAGCATCAGTTCCAGTTCGAATTATTCCGGCCTTTCTGAATCCCGACAGGATGTTTTCGGTGTCACTGAAGTTCAGGTTTGTCGATCCATTCAGTGACTTCCAGGAAAGTTTCATGGTGCCTCCTCCTGGTTCCCGTGAAGCTGTGTTCTCCATCCTCGCTTTGCTCCAGTCCCTCACAAGTTTCTCGCTCACTCCAAACTTTCTTTCTGCTGCTCGATTACCCTTTTCGGCTGAATATTTCACGACTTGCAGCAGGACAGAGGCTCTTTCTGCAGGAGACATGCGCAGTAGAGTGAAGTGACAGTGGTGCAGGAGGAACAGGAGCAGAAGATACTGACACACAAGACTAGAGCCTCTCACGGCTTCAGTGTGAAAACTTTAACATATAAGTCACACTGGAGAATAAGTCGCAGGAAACACCCAAACCATGAAAAAAGCACAACTTATAGTCCTAAAAATACAGTCATCCCAGCTTTATTTTAACAGAATATGACAAGAAAGAAATGACTTTGTTGGAACTAGAACAGATAAGCTGATTTTTACGCTCAGACTGATCACAGGCTCCCGAAAATGTGCCGTTTAAACTCATCCATCTTAAATAGTGTTGACAGTGTTTGCTAATGTGCGCATTCATTGCGTCGCCACGGTAACCGCTGCACATTCTGCCTATATCGGAGACTTATGTAGATCGTAGAACACCCCCAGCGTGGTGTCACCGCAAAGAATCAAAGAATCGATAGCTCCCCACACTACTGACACGATCCATACAATAAAGAGACATTTGGTTTATTTCTCATTTGTTTTTTTGATATAGTTATTTTCACGACAAGCCGAAGTAAGAAAGATGGCCGTGATGAGAGCGTGTCGTATTGTTTTATTAGATTGAAAAACTGTGAGGAATGGGAGACGGGCTCATGCACAGAGCACAGATGGATGCCGAGACTCGTGCTCGTCTTTGCTTCATGTCACGCAATTAAAAAGAACATCTGCTGGGGGCTGGTGATGAAGACGACAACTGTCTGGTGCCGTCACGTAGAATAATACTCAGGCAGGATAACTAACTAGTAGTAGTAATAGCGGGCGGTGCAGTAGTAGTAGCAGTAGTAGTAGTAGTAGTAGTAGTTGCTGGTGGCTGCTGATGAAGTCTGCAACTGTCCATCACATAGACTAATAATAAAATAATAATCAAGCAAGATAACTGTATGAAAAGGCTATTGTGAAGGCATAAACTGTAGTAGTAGTAGTAGTAGTAGTAGTAGTAGTAGTAGTAGTAGTAGTAGTAGTAGTAGTAGTAGTAGTTGAGGTGGTTGTAGTAGTAGTATAGTAGTTGTAGTTGTGGTAGTAGTTCTAGTAGTTCTAGTAATAGTTGCGGTAGTAGTAGTAGTAGTGGTGATAGTTGAGGTAGTAGTAGTAGTAGTAGTAGTAGTAGTAATAGTAGTTGAGGTGGTTGTAGTAGTAGTAGTAGTTGAGGTGGTTGTGGTAGTAGTAGTTCTAGTAATAGTTGTAGTAGTAGTAGTAGTAGTAGTAGTAGTGGTGATAGTTGAGGTAGTAGTAGTAGTAGTTGAGGTGGTTGTAGTAGCAGTAGTAGTTGAGGTGGTTGTGGTAGTAGTAGTTGAGGTGGTTGTGGTAGTAGTTGTGGTAATAATAGTAATTGTAGTAATAGTAGTAATAGTAATAGTTGTGGTAGTAGTTCTAGTAATAGTTGTGGTAGTAGTAGTAGTAGTGGTGATAGTTGAGTAGTAGTAGTAGTAGTAGTAGGTGGTAGTAGTAGTAGTAGTAGTTGAGGTGGTTGTGGTAGTAGTAGTTGTAGTTGTGGTAGTAGTAGTAGTAGTAGTAGTAGTAGTAGTAGTAGTAGTAGTAGTAGTAGTTGTGTTAGTAGTAGTAGTAGTTGTTGTTATTGTAGCAGTAGTAGTGATACTAGTAGTAGTGGTATTAGTAGTAGTAGTAGTAGTAGTAGTAGTAGTAGTAGTAGTAGTAGTAGTAGTAGTAGTAGTAGTAGTAGTAGTAGTAGTAGTAGTCGTTGCAGTTTCAGAGAGAGATATACATTATTGATGCTAGAAGTCACTTAAGGAAGGGCATCTGGTGTAAAACCCATTAGTCTGCAAGTCTGTGCATCGTCACAATAATAGCTGCAGATTTATTTTGAACACCTTTTGTTCGGTTGTGACGGCAAAAACAAAACTGAATATAATGAACGTTTCAGCTCTGCCGCCAAATAAAACAAGATGAGAATAAAAAACAGATTAAAAACAACAGCTCATTTTCTACTTCAAATCTGCGTCTTATTTAAACTCTCACAGCTAAACGTGTATTTTATTTTGTAGGAGCCAGCAGAGGAAGTTCCCGCCCATGTCGTCCTATCACCGGATGCTGTTACACAGAGTGGCTGCGTATTTCGGCCTGGACCATAACGTCGACCCCAGCGGCAAGTCTGTGGTCATCAACAAGACCTCCAGCACTAGAATGTGAGAACACGTCTAATCTAATCTATACGTTTATGTCGCCCTCTGCTGGTGACTGTAGGAAAGGCAGCTTGCTGAAATAGGAAATTAGCAGCACATGCTTTATAGACATTTTTCTCTACTATATCTATCTTTTTTATGACCAATTCAGTATTAGATTAAGATTACAATGACTTGTATACAATCATTATACTGTATTATTCATAACAATAACATGTTTATACTCTTATTCTCTCATCAAAACATGCCCGAAGAGGTTTTATGTCACCCATGTTTATGTTTATTTATTAAATATGGGACAGTGCACATTAATAAACATGTGTTAGTGCTAGTGCAGAATGTAAATGCGCCAGAATTACTTTACATTTTCTTAGTAAGTGTAAGAACATGTTAAGTCTAATAATCTTTTTTTTTTTCCTACATATGGCTTTGTCAGCAATGACCCATATGTAACAAAAACCCAATAACTAACCTTAAACCAAATTATAACTTGTGTTTTGCAATAAAATAAGAAATACAGTGACTTGCGAGATGCGAGATTTGTCAAAGGCTTTCTATTAATTATTTAAAAGTGTAAAAGTTGCATTAACCATATAAACTTGGAAAAAACATACCGTATTTTTCGGACTATAAATCGCTCCAGAGTATAACTCGCAGCAGCCAAAAAATGCGTAATCAAGAAAAAAAACATATATAAGTCACACTTTTTGGGAGAAATTTATTTTATAAAATCAGAGACTAGGAACCAACATTTCATTTTGAAAGGCAAATTACAGTAATAACAGCAGAACAGAGAACAACACACTGTTAACGTCACATATGAACAGTTCTTCAGATAAACTATAACATAAACAACAGAACAGAACAAGTTTAACAAACTCTCCATCTCACTCCAAATCACTAAATCCATTCAATTCTTCATCCTCTGTGTCACTTCTGAGCAACTCCACGACCTCCAAAGGTAAATGGAGTGCCACTTCCTCTTCTGTGTAGCTCTCGTCAGACCATAGACCGTATAAAAGACGTGGACTAAGCGAGTGGCTGACGATGTTCAGGAGTGAATATTAATCCAGGCTCTATGTTATGAATAGGATCTTTTTGACAGACAAAATAGCGAAAAAAAAACATTCAGGATCATGTGTTGTGGGTTAATAAGAACATTTTAAGACCAAACTGACGAGGCTCACAGCAGCAGGTACAGAGGTAGGACCCTAATATAAGTCAATAGGAGCCAGAGTCAGAAGGAGCTTAAAATTATCAGTGGTACAGAAGTAATGGTGCGATGGACTGACATGATACAGACAGGACAGAGGCTCTTTCTCTTTTTTCTGGAGCCGACGTGCGCAGCAGAGTGAAGTGACAGTCGTAGAGGAGCACATAAGACTAGAGCCTTTTAACACATAAGTCGCAGGAAACACCCAAACCATGAAAAAAAGTGCGACTTATAGTCCGAAAAATACGGTACATATTTTGTTCATGTAATTTTGTGTCTAACTTTTTTCACTTTTAACAAGATAACACATGACTTAAAGTTCACAAGAGTCAATTTCACTAAACGTAGGACCTTTAAACCGGCTCTACTTTTTACAGGTTATTACACTTCACATGACGCTGTACTTGGTTAGACTCTATATACTGTTCCTCTCACTATCACTGTATTTGTCCCACATATGGCTTTGTCAGCATCTGCCTCAAATTAAGCTGCCACTCTTTTGCTCTGTTTCGTCGACAGCCCCGATCAGAAATTCTCGGAGCACATCAAGGATGACAGGGCTGACGATTTTCAGAAACGCTACATTCTGAAACGAGACAACTCCAGCTTTGATCCAGAAGACATCACGGTAGGCTGTTTTCATTATATATTTATTTATTTTTTTTAAGCTTTCCTCCATCAAACTGTCACTTTTATTACTGACGGGTTGGTTGGAGTCGTGGGCACAGTCTGGTGACAATGACATCGCCGCTAAAGGAGTTGTGTGTGTTTTTGTGTTGCTGAAAATAGGGAGTGTGACTGGCGAGGTTTGTTTGGAAACTGACAAGAGCAAAGTGACGGAGGAGTCCAACTATAACAGTTTATATAGACTCTGTACACATCATTATATGGTTTGGTTTGGTTTGGTGACACTACAGCTGAACTTTTACTAACCTTAATATAGTTTGAACAGTTTATTATTATTTATTTTTTAAGTTTTGACCCACCAAATCCTAACCATAATCCCTTAACTAAACCTGAATTATTCTTAAACCGTATTTTTCGGACTATAAAGTGCACCAGATTATAAGGCACAATATTAATAATGTTGAATTCTCTCGTCTATTCACATAAATTGCACCAGATTATAAGGTGCATTAAGCAAAACAAACGGACGCCACGTAAGACTGAAACCTTAGCCCAGGAATCCACGATCCATCTGCAGATCGTGGCGTAATTCGCTCGGCGTCGCCTCCCTGTCTTGGTGAATGTGAATTATCAGTGTGAATCTGGATAATATAAGTTTGTTTTTTTTATTTCCCATGACTCAAGGACTCAAATATACATTGAGTAATAATGTGTTAAATTCAGCTTTGCGCATATTTGTTTACGTTTTACTGAAACGTAACTTAAAACAACTTGGCAAATTTGCATAAGCGCTGAAAAAAAAACCCAGCTCATGCTTGCAACTCAATATAAAGAAAACTGTCTGCATGATGTTCAGTAGAAAAACCAACTGAGTTACAGCAGTCCAGTGTCTTTCCTGACGGGGTGGAACTCGTCAGCCTCGTCAAAGAGTTTAAATATCTGGGACAGACGTTGGACCCGACATTGACATTTAAGAAACACATTAAGCGCCTCATAAAAACTGTTCATTTTAACTTATTGAATTTTAGACAAGTAAGATCCTTTATGACTCTAAATGCGGCACGAATGTTTTTACACTCCATGATTCTGTCTCATATAGAGGATTGCATAAGCACATGGGCACTTGCTGCTGGCACAAAACTCAAACCAGTCGAATCACTTCTTAAAAAAGCTGTAAAAATATTGGACAAGAAGCCACTGCACTATTTTAGATTAGTACAACTTGCTTAATTTTAATAATTTTGTTGATTTAAAATATAATAGATGTTCATTCATATGCACTGTCCCTATTAAATAAATAAATAACTAAGTAAATAAATAAAATGATATGGTCAGCTTCTGTTGGACTAAAGGACACAATTTACTCCGTGTAATGCTGTGACAGTCAGCTTGGCAGTTACCAAAGTCGTACTAAAACATTTTGAGAGATTTTCGAGCGCCGTGTACCACATAAAATCAGTTCAAGGTCAGTAAGTACAACCAGAATTAATACATAAGGCGCACTGTCGATTTTTGAGAAAAGTAAAGGATTTTAAGTGCATCTTATAGTCCGAAAATTACGGTAAAACTTCTTTATTCAATTATAGGTGTTTTTTATTGCTACAAAAATGCCTCTTACCATGAGCAGGCTTGCCTCTCCATAGATCAGACATGTAACTAGACCTGGTATTGACACATGCTCGTCTCCACGGTGATAAGTTTGAGGTTACACTGTGGAACATTCCAGACGATAACATTTCTTTGGAGACGAGCAAGTGCAGTTAAAGGGTACAGCATCTAACTTTCATGATTCCACGGAAATAGAAAGTTAAAGCCATAATTCGGAACATTATCCATGAAGATTGAGGACATTTCCATGGAAACGAGCAGAAGGAGGTCCTGGTCAGGTTTGTGGAGATGCAAGCCGGCTCAGAGTAAAGATAAACACAACCAAACACAACCAAACTGAGGAAAAAACTAAACAAAACGTGATTATTTTAGTCTATTTTTGGGCTAAAAGTTACATACCGTGGCTTTAAATGTCACACAGTTAATGGATTAATTTGCCGATGTGTTTTTACAGTTTTTAGTCCTAATTGTCAGTGTATATTATTTTCTGTCAGATTTGTGTAGAGCTGTACATTCTGATGCGGCGCTGGCTGTAGAAGAGCAGCTGTGCGGCTGAAAGAGACGAGCTCGAGCCAGATTGGGCTTGAAATCTGACAGGAAGAACAGAACTGAACAAGAGAGAGAGAGAGAAAGAAGAGAAGAAAAGAGCAACAAACAGGAACAGAACACTTATTTGCACAAAGTAAGAGACGGAGAGGGAGAGAGAACGGCAAGAGGGAGAGAAGGAGAGAGAGAGTGATAGAGAGATAGTAAATAGAGAGGGAGAGATAGAGACAAAGAGATAGACAGAGAGAGAGAGAAACAGGACAATTAGAGGGAGAGGCAGAGAGAGAGTGATAGAAAAATAGTAATAGAGAGAGAGCGATAGATACAGAGAAAGAGAGAGAGATAGGACAGGGAAAGACAGAGAGAGTGAAAGAGAGATTGTAATAGAAAGGGAGAGATAGAGATAGATACAGAGAGAGAGAGAGAGAGATGGAGAGAAAGATAGAACAGGGAGAGGTAGAGAGAGATAGAGTGATAAGGAGATAGTAATAGATGGAGAGGGAGAGAGAGATACAAAGAGAGAGAGAAAGAGAGATGGAGAGAGAGATAGAATAGTGAGAGGGAGAGAGAGAGAGACAAAGAGACAGTAATAGTCAGAAATAGTCAGAGAGAGAGATAGAACAGCAAAAGAGAGAGAAAGAGAGATAGTAATAAACAGAGAGGGAGAGAGGTACAGAGAGAGAGAGAGAAAGACAGACAGGCAGAGAGAGAGATGGAGAGAATGAAGGAGAGAAAAGTGATAGAGAAAGAGAGAGGGAGAGAGAGAGACAGAACAGCAAGAGGGTGAAAGAGAGAGTGATAGAGAGATAGTAATAGACAGAGAGGGAGAGATAGACACAAAGAGAGAGAGAGAAAGGCAGAGGGAGCGATGTAGAGAGAGCTAGAACTGAGAGGGAGAGATGGAGAGATAGTAATAGACAGGGGGAGAGGTAGATACAAAGAGAGAGAGAAAGACAGAGATAAATAGAGAGGGAGAGAGACAGAAAGTGATAGAGAGAGAGATAGACAGAGTGAGAGATGGAGAGATAGAACAGCGAAAGGGAGAGTGATAGAGAGATATTAATAGACAGAGGGAGAGATGCAAAGAGAGAGAGAAAGACAGATAGGTAGAGAGCAAAAGAGATGGAGAGAAAGAGGGAGAGAGAAAGTGATAGAAAGAGAAAGACAGGGGGGATAGAGAGAGAGCTGAAGAGAGAGAAAAGAAGGAGAGATGGAGAGAAGAGACAGAGAGAGCAATAGTGAAAGAGAGCGAGAAAGAGACAGACAAAGACAGAGAGAGAGATAGATAGATAGATAAAGAGAGCAAGGGAGAAAGAGATAGACAGATAGAGACAGGGGAGAGAGAGAGAGAGAGAAAGAGAAATTGATGGAGAGAGGAAAGAGAGAGAGATAAACAGAGAGCGATAGTGAAAAAGAGCGAGAAAGAGACAGACATAAAGACAGATAAACGACTAGATAAAGAGAGCGACGGAGAAAGAGACAGACAGATGGAGAGAGACGGGGGGATTAGAGAGAGAGAAAAAACAGAGAGGAAAACAGTAATAGAGAGAGATGGAGAGAACAGCGAGAGACAGAGCGAGAGAGTGATAGAGAGATAGTAATAGACAGAGAGGGAGAGATAGATACAAAGAGAGAGAGAAAGACGGAGAGATGGATAGAAAGTGGGAGAGAGAAAGAAAGTGATAGAGCGAGAAAGGGAGGGGTAAAACACAGAGAAAGAGAGAGCTGGAAAGGGGGGAAAAAAGGAGAAAGATGGACACAATGGAGAGAGAGATGGACAGAGACAGAGAGAGAGAGAGAGATAAACAAAGGGAGAGACAGAGAGAGAGATAGAATAGACAGAGGGAGAGATATATACAAAGAGAGAGAGAAAGACAGAGATTGAGAGAAAGAGGGAGAGAGAAGGAAAGTGATAGAGAGAGAAAAAAATGATAGAGATGGAGAGAGCGAGAAAGAGACAGACAAAGACAGAGAGATAGACAGATAAAGAGAGCAAGGGAGAAAGAGAAAGACAGATGGAGAGAGACGGGGGGGTTAGAGAGAGAAAAAAAACAGTGAGGAAAACGGCGATAGAGAGAGACAGGGGGAGAGAGGAAAAAGAAGGAGAGAAAGAGATGGAGAGAGATAGACGAGAGGGTGACAAAAGGTTTGGGAGAGAGATAGACGGATAGATAGAGAAAAAGAGCGAGAAAGAGACAGACATAAAGACAGATAAACAACTAGATAAAGAGAGCGACGGAGAAAGAGACAGACAGATGGAGAGAGACGGATGGACGGACGACGGGGGGGGGGTTAGAGAGAGAAAAAAAAACAGCGAGGAAAACAGCGACGGAGAGAGAAAACGGGGAGAGCGGAGCGTGTAGGCGGACCGGTGGAGGACTGGAGGAGGTTGTGGCGAAATCAGGATCAGCCATTTTGTTCAAATCGCTGTCATTTTATATTCATGTGCAAATCACTACAGCTCTCCCTCACCAATTACCAGAGCTGGATTTGTGATGAAATACTCTGATTTTTGGAGAAAGAAATCAAGAAATGCTTTTTTTTTTTCCTTTTTTTGAACATAGCTCGAGGCCCAAACTTAAGTCAAAATCACATGTTACAGATAATTGTCAAATAATACTGTATAATTTTCTAATCCGCTGTAATTTTCTTTTTCACCTGCAGGGCGACCATTTCCTCCTAGACAGAAGGTGAGTTGTAAAAACATCCATTTCGCTTATCGCTTAATAATATCTGGTTTCAAAATGTCTGCTATTATGAAAAGGCTGCGCGGGGAAAGGAAAACACGCGGAAATTATAACTTGTGTTTTGCGACGAGAAGAAACGCGGAGATTTGTAAAAACATTCAAGTTCAGGGCGTCCAATTTGTTATTTAAAAGTGTAAAAGTTGCATTATTTTGTTTTACTTTGATGTTTTTTCGCGTTTTAACAAGCGATAAAGGAGATTATAACGCGGCGTAAACCTCACAAGAGTCAATTTCACTAAACGTACGGGCGTTAAATCGGATCTGCGTTTTATTTGTCAGTGTAAATTTCTTTATTATTTGGCTAAACGGAACGGTTTTTGTCCCAAACCACTCACCGTAGCCTGTCGTCTGGCTCCTCCGTCGCCGTCGTCGTCGTCTTAGGAGCAATTACGGCGATTTTAGTCTCGTCTGAAAAGGGGAGACGTCTCACTTTGTCAAACATGATGCTGAAAAAAAAAATAACACTGTATTTTTATTTTTTCTTCAGCGCTCAAGAAGAAGATCTGTGCATGAGCAGCCAACAGCGAAGACAAATGTTCAGGTACGTTTAACGACAATTATTTTGAAGGAAATTTGTAGTAGTAGTTTTTTGATAACATACTTTTACTGTGTCTTAAACTGCCAAGGCTGCGATTATTTAAAGGTGTAGTACGTAACTTTTCTAGTGCAGGGTTTGCTTATCTCCTCGCAGATGTAACGAAAATGTAAACTTAAAATCCATTTAAAGAACTAGACCAGGACTAGACCAGGACTAGACCAGGACTAGACCTACACCAAAACCCAAACAGGGCTAAACCAGAACTACACCAGGACTCAACCAGGACTAAAGCAGGACTAGACCAGAACCAAACTAAATCTACATCAGAAACAAACCAGGACCAAACCAGAACTACACCAGAACTCGATCATGACTAGTTCACGACTAGGCCAGGACTAGACCAGGACTAGACCAGGACTAGACCAGGACTAGACCTAGATCAAAACCCATCCAGGACTAAACCAGAAATACACCAGAACTCAACCAGGACTAAAGCAGGACTAGACCAGAACCAAACCATGTCTACATCAGAACTAAATCAGGACTAGACCAAAACCCAACCAGGACTAAACCAGAAATACACCAGAACTCAACGAGGACTAAATCAGGACTAGACCAGGACTGGACCAGGACGGAACGAAGTCCATCGGAATTAAACCAGGATCAAACCAGGACCAAACCAAGATTAAATCATAAGTAAACCAGGACTAGACCAGAACTAAACCAGGACTAAACCACGACCAAACCAGATCTACATCAGATCTCGACCAGGACTAAACCAGGATTAGACCAGAACTTAACCAAAGTCTACATCAGAACCAAACCAGGACTAGACCAGAACTAATCCAGGACTAGACGACGACCAAACCAACTCTACATCAGAACTAAACCAGGACCAAACCAAGTCTACATCAGAAAAAAAACAGGACTAGACCAGAACTAAACTGGGACTAGACCAGGACCACACCAACTCTACATCGGAACTAAACCAGGATTAAACTACAACCAAACCAGACCTACATCAGATCTCGACCAGGACTAGACCAGAACCAAACCAAAGTCTACATCAGAACTAAACCAGGACTAGACCAGAACTAATCCAGGACTAGACGACGACCAAACCAACTCTACATCAGAACTAAACCAGGACCAAACCAAGTCTACATCAGAAAAAAAACAGGACTAGACAAGAACTAAACTGGAACTAGACCAGAACTAAACTGGGACTAGACCAGGACCACACCAACTCTACATCGGAACTAAACCAGGATTAAACTACAACCAAACCAGACCTACATCAGACCTCGACCAAGACTAGACCAGAACTAAACCGTGACTAGACCAGGATCAAACCAACTCTACATCAGGACTAAACCATGACTAAACCAAGACTAAACCAGGACTAAACCAAGACTAAACCAGGACTAAACCAGAAACAGACCAGCTCTACATTAGTCCACTAAACCAGGACTAGACCAGAACTAAACCGTGACTAGACCAGGATCAAACCAACTCTACATCAGGACTAAACCAAGACTAAACCAGGACCAAACGAGATCTACATCAGATCTTGACCGTGACTAAACCAGGACAAAACCAGGACTAAACCAGGACTAAACCAGGACTACATCAGACCTCCACTGAGATCAAACCGGGACGTGTGGGAAGCCTGTGTCGTTTCTAATCAGACGCACACAGACCACTGATCTGAGGGTTTGAAAACAACATTCCCTTAAACAGGATTTTCCTCCTCGTCGTCGTGTGGGCCCAAAGCTCCACCAATTAAACCATAAAACCTTTTTCTTCTCCATTTTAGTCTCGTACATGTGTCATCTTTTATTGATCTGGAGTCAAGCTGAACATAAGAGAGAAGCCCAAGGCGAAAAAAACCCAAATGGGATACAGGGCTATTGATTTCACAAATGTACAAGCTCAGATTTGCTGACTTTGTTCCTACACGATGGCTACATATCTCCTTTTAGATTCACAGATGTAATTTCTGAAATGTGTGGAGAGATCGTTTTGTGAGCAGATTTTTGGTTATCGCGAATAAAAAAGAGAGCGTGTCAATCTAAAACGGGAGCCTATACAAGAAAAAACGAGGCTCAAATAGATTTTTTGCATTGATTTTCATATTTAATAACAATACAAAAACAAAAATGTAAACAAAAATAAATGTAATTAAATAAAACACTCCCACGCTCGATACAGAATTTTCTCTAATATACAAGAAAAAATGTCCAATCAAAAATGTAATTATGTAAAGTAAAGTTTCATTTATTTAGGGATTGGTAGAAATTCGTAAAAAAAAAACAAAAAAAACCTGTGTCTCTGAGCCTTAAAAAATACATGGTTTAAATTTTCCCAGGATTGTTGCGTCATAGGTAGAAATCCTGCACAGTTTTTAAGTCATTAACAGACTTCTTGTAAGTGTTTCTGAGCAAATATTAAATATCCAAATAGTAAAAGCCCAAAGGTTGAATCGTTGAGAGACGGGATTACTCTATTTGAAAAAGATTTTGATTTCTTGGTTTGAAACAGTTTTGATTAATGTTAGTCCGTGTATCATTCCTTCATTTGTTTTTCAAGATAAAATCTGAAATAAGAAAACGAAAAAAAATAAATAAATAATTGTCTCCAAAACCAAACTGAAAAAATGGATAAGGATTTCTGATTTTGTGTTTAAATGAATAGTGGAAAAAACGGATAACGACCGTTTCCCGTTTCCATGACTTAAACTGCGTTGCTGGACTGAACCAGGACTGAACCAGGACTGAAGCAGGACTGAACCAGGACTGAACCAGGACTGAACCAGGACTGAACCAGGAGTGTCGGGATGGGCCTGGAGGTGTGCCCATGTAGACTGTCGGGTGATCAGAACTGAGACCGGGACTGAGACCGGGACTGAGACCGGGACTGAGACCGGAACTGAGACCGGAACTGAGACCGGAACTGAGACCGGGACTGAGACCGGGACTGAGACCGGGACTGAGACCGGGACTGAGACCGGGACTGAGACCGGACTGAGACCGGTTTAATCCTGGTTTAGTCCTGATGTATAGTTGGTTTAGTCCTGGTCTAATCCCGGTTTAGTTCTGGTTTAGTCCTGGTGGAGCTCTGATGTAGATATGGTCTGTTTCTGGTTTAGTCCTGGTTTGGTCCTGGTTTAGTCCTGGTTTAGTCCTGGTTTAGTCCTGGTTTAGTCCTGGTTTAGTCCTGGTTTAGTCCTGGTTCAGTCCTGGTTCAGTCCTGCATCACAGTTTAAATCACGGAAACAGAAATATTGGGTTATCCGTTTTTTCCATTATTCATTTAAACACAAAATCGAAAACTGGAAAAAACTAATCGTTATCCATTTTTTCATTTGGGTTTTGGAGACAAATAAAGAAGAAAATAGTCGCTTTTTCGTTTTCTTATTTTTGGTTTTATTTTGAAAAACAAATGAACGAATGATACACAGATTAACATTGTGTAGCTTCTGTTTAGTTTTTTCTCATGTCACTCAAAAAATGAAATGTTGGTATTTAAATATATTATGTCACCTTTTTCATGTGATTATTTAGTTGATTTAAAACATTTAAAGCATATTTTAGTGTTCTCTATTTAAATCACAGGTGTCAAACATAAGGCCCGGGGGCCAGATCCGGCCCTCCAAGTCCTTTAATCTGGCCCTCGGCTGATTTTCTACTAAAATATTTTTATTATATTTTCTATTAAAATATTGTTAATTTTCTGCGGTGTTTATCACAGCAGCATCTCCAGAGCCTCTGTACGTGGCCCCTCCCACCAGAGCAGCACAAATGAAGACTTGTCTCTTTCCAAACGCTCTTAAAGGACGATCGTTTTGACTGTTGACCGTGACACCCTCATCAGAAAAATGTCCAAAATGAGAAAAGTGGAGCCGAGTGCAGGATTTTACAAGAAAAATTTACTTATTCCTATTTACATACAAGTTCATGTTAAAACATTGTGTTGAATTGCATTTTTTTTTTTTTTAAGTTTCAGGTTGATTTATAATATTATCATATTTTGTAAAAGAAAGATTTCATCAATTAAAAAAGATTTCTGTAATACATTTGCGTTTCTCTGCACAAATATTTGAACTTATTTTTATTTTTGGGGTTTATATGACATGAGTTTTCTGATCCGGCCCCTTTGGGATCAAAGTCGGTTGGATACGGCCCCCGGACCAAAATGAGTTTCACACCCCTGATTTAAATCAAACGTTTAAAATAATGCGTTGGCGTCATGTGTCTGTGTGTGTGTGTTTCTCCTCAGGCTGGGAGTGGGCCGGTCAGGGGCCAGCAGACAGAGCAGCTCAGAGACAGACACTCTCCCCAGACCCTCGGACCCTCGGCCCTGGAGCAGCACCGACAGCTCAGACAGCTCCCACCGCCTGGCCCCCAGACCCCCCATCACCAAAGCACGCAGCTTCAGCGGAGTCTGCCCCGGTCTGGCCCGAGGAGACAGTACAGCCAGCAGCAAGAGCACGGGGAGACTGTCCAAGACTGGTACGAAAACACAAAACAGACAATAAAAGAACCAGACACACGCTCCATTGTGCAGTAGTCTGGTCAGTAGTCTGGTCAGTGTTGGAACGTGAAGTCATTTTTAGGCATTTTGTACTTTACTTTTGTACATTTTAGCAAGTTTCACCACTACGTTTTTAATAGACCAGAACCAAACCAAGTCTACATCAGAATTAAACCAGGACTAGACCAGAACCAAACCAAGTCTACATCAGAATTAAACCAGGACTAGACCAGGACCAAATAAGTCTACATCAGAATTAAACCAGGACTAGACCAGGACCAAACCAAGTCTACATCAGAATTAAACCAGGACTAGACCAGAACCAAACCAAGTCTACATCAGAATTAAACCAGGACTAGACCAGGACCAAATAAGTCTACATCAGAATTAAACCAGGACTAGACCAGGACCAAACCAAGTCTACATCAGAATTAAACCAGGACTAGACCAGGACCAAACCAAGTCTACATCAGAATTAAACCAGGACTAAACCAGAACTACACCCATTTCGACCATGACTAGACCAGGACTAGACCAGAACTAGATCTAGACCAAACAAAGCCTGCATCAGAATTAAACCAGGATCAAACCAGGACCAAACCAGAACTAAACCAGGACTAGACCAGGACCAGCCAAAGTCTACATCAGAATTAAACCAGGACTAGACCAGGACCAAATCAAGTCTACATCAGAAACAAACTACAACCAAATCAGAACTCGACCACTCTAGACCAGGACTAGACCAGGACCAGGACTAGACCAGGACTAGACCAGGACCAAACCAAGTCTACATCAGAATTAAACCAGGACTAGACCAGGACCAAACCAAGTCTACATCAGAATTAAACCAGGACTAGACCAGGACCAAACAAAGTCTACATCAGAATTAAACCAGGACTAGACCAGGACCAAACAAGTCTACATCAGAATTAAACCAGGACTAGACCAGACCAAACCAAGTCTACATCAGAATAAACCAGGACTAGACCAGGACCAAACCAAGTCTACATCAGAATTAAACCAGGACTAGACCAGGACCAAACCAAGTCTACATCAGAATTAAACCAGGACTAGACCAGGACCAAACCAAGTCTACATCAGAATTAAACCAGGACTAGACCAGGACCAAACCAAGTCTACATCAGAATTAAACCAGGACTAGACCAGGACCAAACCAAGTCTACATCAGAATTAAACCAGGACTAGACCAGGACCAAACCAAGTCTACATCAGGAATTAAACCAGGACTAGACCAGAACCAAACCAAGTCTACATCAGAAACAAACTACAACCAAATCAGAACTCGACCACTCTAGACCAGGACTAGACCAGGACTAGACCAGGACTAGACCAGGACCAAACTAAGTCTACATCAGAATTAAACCAGGACTAAACCAGAACTACACCCATTTCGACCATGACTAGACCAGGACTAGACCAGGACTAGATCTAGACCAAACAAAGCCTGCATCAGAATTAAACCAGGATCAAACCAGGACCAAACCAGAACTAAACCAGGACTAGACCAGGACCAAGCCAAAGTCTACATCAGAACTAAACCAGGACTAAACCAGGACCAAATAAGTCTACATCAGAATAAACCAGGACTAGACACAGGACCAAGCCAAAGTCTACATCAGAACTAAACCAGGACTAAACCATGACTAAACCAGAACCAAACCAAGTCTATATCAGAACTAAACCAGGACTAGACCAGGACCAAACCAAGTCTACATCAGAACTAAACCAGGACTAGACCAGAACTAAACCATGACTAGATTAGGACCAAACCAACTCTACATCAGAACTAAACCATGACTAAACCAAGATTAAACCAGGACCAAACGAGATCTACATCAGATTTTGACCAGGACTAAACCAGGACTAAACCAGGACTAAACTAGGACTAAACCAGAACCAAGCCAAAGTCTACATCAGAACTAAACCAGGACTAGACCAGAACTAATCCAGGACTAGACCAAGACCAAACCAACTCTACATCGGAATTAAACCATGACTAAACCAGAAACAGACCGATCTACATCAGATCTCAACCAGGACTAAACCGTGACTAGATCAGGACCAAACCAAGTCTACATCAGAACTAAACCAGGACTAAACCAAGATTAAACCAGGACCAAACGAGATCTACATCAGCTCTCGACCAGGACTAAACCAGGACTAAACCAGAACCAAAGACCAAAGAACTGCTGAAAATGAGACTGCAGCTCTTTTTAATGATTTGTGGTTTACAAAAACAAAAAAAAAGGAGGTTGTTGGTGAGTTTGTAGTAAATTTAAACAACAGAATTTACAAAAAATAATCAAATATGTGCCCAAAACCCAATCTCTACTCCACCAAAACATATATATTTACCATTTTGTGAAGAAAAAGAGTGAGTGGGTGAGAAGTTATATCTGTTATTATCTCTTAGGCCAATTTACAAATAAATTATTCAAGGCGTTCCTGCATTATAGTGTCTTGTTAAAACTGGTCTTATCCATACACCTCCGATACTGCGTCTGCCCGGCCCTTAAGACAATATTGTGCGGAGAAAAACACACAGAGAAACGCATATATTTACATTTATTTACTCAAAACAGTTTAAGCTTAGACGTCGGATAAACAGATGATGCATTCTCATAGCGCAAAAAGAGACGTATTATTTAAATCTAACTTGTACAAAGGGTTTTCTCATTACTCCCGTGCTGTATTTGTAAGTAAACATGCCCTTTGCCACCGCGCACGGAGGAGACGGCTCTAATTGGTCTGTTATTATAAAGAAATGGTATCTCCGTGGCTGGCGTCCTCCATCTTTGTACTGTCCCCTCTGGGTTTTTCTTCACTTCTAATCAGAACAAATGTTTGCAGTAGCGCCATATCCGATGACCGGGCACCTGCCAAAGATAATTCCGCCTCGCTGGCTGCCACGGCGGAAATACCGGAGCGATTTAAAAAACGAGAGAAGTAGTGTAGGCTGGGCAACGCTACGAGGAAATGTAATACAATAAGACAGACTAATAACGCGTTGGCGGTGTTAAAGGTGCTCTACTAGAAGGTAACTTTATGGTTGGGGGTCCGTCGCCTGCTTGTTTCTGTGGATATGTCATTGCTCTGCCTTGAATGTTCCACAGTATGACATTAAACAGCTCAACTTTGCATTTATTCAATTATTAGATGGTTTTATAGCTCAAAAATACTTAGAAAAAGAGGCGTTCTGATTGTGAACAGGGTCGCCTCTCCATAGACCTCTACTTTATTGACTGATTATTCGGAATTAAACTTAATTCCGAATAAGTAGCATTAGGAGTCGTTCGCTCGACAGTAGGCGGGTAGTTTTTTTTATTTAACCAATCGCTGCTATTTGGTCGTGACTTATGTAACGCGCCAAATCCCGTAGGAAGAAGGGCAATAACGTCTTTCCCCTTGATAAAATTCACCAAACATTCTCTTTGTTCCGGCTTTAAATCCTCGATCTCAGGAATCGTTGCCAACACAGAATGTCTGTCTTCGTCTACATCCATCTCGACCGCTTTGTTTACTGTTGTGCTGTTCCACAAAAGGGACCCAGACAGACGCTTGAGTTTGACGTCGTGGCTTCACAGCTCTTCGCTGATTGGCCAGTGCACCGGTCTACAACTTCCGGGGTTCTTGCAAACCGTCTAGTGCAGGGATCTCCAACCTTTTGCGTCCAGTGAGTTACCTTTACAAAATAAAAATGCCAGAGAGCAAAAAAAATGATTCAGTATAAGAGGGCAAGCCTTAGATGTACAGTTAGATCCCTATGAAACACTAAACCGTTATCCATTTATTAGTACACAAAGTTCAAAATAACACATTTACGGTGGTAATTAATCAAGTCTGAGTTATTTAGTACAGTACGTATAATTCAGAAATCATTTGGCGAGCTACTTGTAAGGGGTTGAGAGCTTCTGGTAGCTCCCGAGATACAGGTTGGACACCCCTGGTCTAGTGTATTCTGATTCCTGACCTAGTCGCTGGAGAGAAATGAAATTGAGCGGAGGCACTAGGTGACACCAGCCTGGTTAGGTTTATTCTGATTTTAAAGCTGAATTAATTTGTAAACGTTTCTTCTTCTTAAAAATAAGTCTGGTCGTTCAGCGCATGCTAGTTGGGTCGCCCTTCTGAAGCAATCCAGACGATCCGGCTCCACCAGTTCTCGCTTCGGACTTTCCTCCACGTCTCTTTGGATTTGCGAGCGGGATGCGGGAGTGGGCTGAGGTAGAGCAGACGTCGACTCAGTTCGTCTTCTTCCTCCCTTCTCCGACACTCTTCCCTTCCCCTCCTCAGCCGACAGACGTAAAGCGTGATGAGAGAATTAACATCGGAACAACTGCGGAAAAAAGTTTGGATCGCGTTTGTGTCCGCGGCGTAACGACAAACCGAGATGACGGAAAAGCCGGTAGCAGCTGAAGTGTTTGTTTTCTTCCGGTCGACGTAAATACGTTCGTGTCTCTGTCCAATCAGAACCCTTCCCCACCTCCAGACGATAAAGCCGATTTAACGTGTTTTCCATGTAAACCTCAATTCGGAATTATTATTTCCGAACGAGAATATTTTAATTCCCAACTATTTAATTCAGAGCGATTAATTCAGAATTTTAAAAAAACATCATGTAAACGTGACCACTGTGAAACATTCCAGACAAAGTAATACATCCACACCTTTTAGTTGCTCTTGGTTTCTTCTGGTTTAGTCTTAAATGAATCCTGGGTTAGACCAAGGTTTAGTCCTGGTTGGGTTCTTGGCTCGATCCAACTTTGAGTCCTGGTTTAGTCCTTGCTTAGTCCTTCAAAACCTTGTAAAAATGCATATATTGTTTGACAAAATAGCTGAATATTTCTTTAATGCGTACGTGTTACTTGTACTTTAGTAATAATATTATTTTGAAGTTACAAATTGAAGACTACAAACCCCTGTCCAATGCATAAACCTGTATTTTGTCTGTCTGGAAATTACATCGGCCTGAGATTAGATGTTTTCCAATGTCATTTCTATCTCCTGTACACATTCTACTTTCCCTGCGCCACCTTACACCCTCTATCTTTCTTTTTTGGCATTTTTATTATTTTGCCAATCTCTGACTTTACGAGCGGCAGTAAGAACAGAAGTAGGATTTAAGTTTTTTCTTTTTTTTAAGTTGTTTTTTTTTGAGTTTGTGTTTTGAGCTTTGGGATAGAAGTCGCTCGTCTCTTCCGTCTTTGCACCAGGCAGCTTACGGTATAATCTACATTCAAGGCACGCTCCATCTGTTAAAACCGCTTCATATGGGGCGGTGGTTCTCAAAATGTGGGGAGGTGCACTAGTTTCTTGGTTTAGACCTATTTTTTCTGGTTTAGTTGGGATTTAATACCTAAAGAGCCCATATTACGCTATTTTCTGATCTATGTTATAATGTTTTTTTGTTTAATTCACGCAAGATTTTGGTCCAGAGTTATACACATTTTTAGATTTTTTTTTTATTTTTTCATTCTTAAAGGTTCCCTGTGCTGCTTTTCTAGTGAACTGTTGTTGCTCAGTCTGGAATGTCCCACAGTACGGCATTTTAATGAACTAACACGCCACTTTGTCATTGCACGAAATGTATTCAAATTCTTTACAGCCATTCTTATTTTTAGACGGTTTTCTTCTCCACGGATCTGGCTTGTAACTTCGCCTGTTGCTGGTCTCCATGGCGATTGATGACATGAAGTTTAATGCCACACTACGGGACAATCCAGCGTTAAAAGTATCCATCTTATTCGATAACATGGGTTTTTATTGATCTAAAAATGTGCTTTGTTACTGTGAGTGGGCTCGCCTCTCCACAGACCTGACACGTACAGTAGCTTTGCCCTGTGGTGTCACCTGCTTGTCTCCATGGAGATGTTACGTTTTGTCTGGAATGTCCCGGTATGGCATTTAAAGAACCCATCTTACTCAATAACATGGGTTTTTATTGATCTTAAAAACGTGCATTGTTACTGTGAGAGTAGTTTAGACCTGGTTTAGACCTGGTTTAGACCTGGTTTAGAACTGGTTTAGACCTGGTTTAGACCTGGTTTAGACCTGGTTTAGAACTGGTTTAGACCTGGTTTAGACCTGGTTTAGACCTGGTTTAGAACTGGTTTAGACCTGGTTTAGACCTGGTTTAGACCTGGTTTAGACCTGGTTTAGACCTGGTTTAGAACTGGTTTAGACCTGGTTTAGAACTGGTTTAGACTGGTTAGACCTGGTTTAGAACTGGTTTAGACCTGGTTTAGACCTGGTTTAGAACTGGTTTAGACCTGGTTTAGAACCTGGTTTAGAACTGGTTTAGAACTGGTTCAGACATGGTTTCAGTCAAGTTTAGACCCAGTTTAGACCTATTTTATTCTTGGATTCAATCAAGTTTAGACCTGGTTTAGACCTGGTTAAGACCTGGTTTCAGCCTAGTTTCAACCTGGTTTAGAATTGGGTTTAGACCTGGTTTAGACCTGGTTTAGACCTGGTTTAGACCTGGTTAGACCTGGTTCAGACATGGTTTCAGTCAAGTTTAGACCCGGTTTAGACCTATTTTATTCTTGGATTCAATCAAGTTTAGACCTGGTTTAGACCTGGTTTCAACCTAGTTTCGACCTGGTTTAGACCTGGTTTAGACCTGGTTTAGACCTTGTTTAGACCTGGTTTAGAACTGGTTCAGACATGGTTTCAATCATGTTTAGACCCAATTTAGACCTACTTTAGTCTCTCAAGTTTAGACCTGGTTTAGACCTAGTTTAGACTTGTTTTTTTGGTCTAAAAAGTGCATTGTTACTATGAGTGGGCTCTCTTCTCCACAAATCTGACTCGTAACTTGGCCCTGTGGCGCCACCTGCTGTTTCCATAGAGTTAAATAAGCATAATGCCATACTGTGGAACATTCCAGACAACATCTCAGTGAAAGGACGGCACGTGACGGACCCAATACCAGAAAAGTTACACCATTGCGCCTTATAGATTCTGTTATTTCCCATTAAATTTGACTAACAGACGTTTACAAAATGTTTAATCTAATCCCGAGAGAATAATGTGGGTTTTTAATTACATCTGGTAATTATTCAAAAACAAAAAAACAACATGGAGGACCAGGAGACGTTTTAAACTCTGCCACTCGAGATGATATAATATTAGCAAGAGGAACAACAGTGAAATTGCCTCCTTTTGAAAAACACTTCTAATTATGACTATCAGCCGCTTCCACCCACATGTTATAATTGACAACTTAATGCACTGAGCCCGGGAGGCATTCTGGGAAATGTAGGAAAACAGAGCTGCTGACTCAAGCGAAATATTTTAATAACTTCACATTGTGCGTACAGTGGGTTTGGGGATAAGGCCCGGGCTCGTGATCCTGCTTTAGTCCCGCTTTAAGACCGGGCTAGACCCAGGGTTTGGAGTCTGGTTTGGATCTGGGTTAAGTCCGAGTTTAGATCTAGGTTAGTTCGAGATGCAGTTCTGTTTTCGTCCTGGTTTAGACTTTGTTAAAAGCTGGGTTAAATCTTGGTTCAGACCTTGTTTTAGTCCTAGTTTAGGTCTGGGTTAGACTGGGATGTAGTCCTGGTTAAGTCCCGGTTTAGACTTTGTTCAAACCTGGGTTCAGACCTGGTTTTGTTTTAGGTGATTGCTGGGTTAGTCCGTGTAGTAGTTCTGTAGTCCTGGGTAAGTCCTGGTTTAGACCTTTGGTAAATCTGAGTTCAGACCTAGTTTAGTGCTAGTTTAGATCTGGGTTAGTTCAAGATCTAGTCCTGGTTTAGTCCTGGTTTAGCCCATGTTAAGACCTTGATTAAAGCTGGGTTCAGACCTGGTTTAGTCCTAGTTTAATCCTGGTTTAGTCCTGGTGTAGTCCTGGTTTAGACTTTGTTAAGACCTGGGTTAAATCTGGAGTCAGACTTGGTTTAGTCCCAGTTTACTGCTGGGTTAGTCCATGTAGTAGTTCTGTTGTCCTGATTTAGTTTAGATCTGGGTTAGTTCGAGATGTAGTCCTGGTTTAGACCTTATTAAATCCGAGATTAGACCTGGTTTAGTTCAAGTTTAGATCTGAGTTACCTTGAGACGCAGTCCTGGTTTAGTTCTGGTTTAGACCTGGGTTAAAGCTGAGTTTAGACCTGGTGTAGTCCTAGGTTAAGATCTGGGTTAAATTTGTGTTTATTTGTGGTTTATTCCTAGTTCAAATTTTGGTTTAGATCTGGGTTTAATCCAGGTTTAGTTTAGTTTAGATCTGGTATTTAGACCTGGGTTAGTTTAGATTACACTTGGTCCTTCTTAAAAACAGCTTGAGTCTTTCTTTTAGTCCTGGTTTTGGTCTGGTTTGGCTTGTCTTTCGACTTGCATAAAAACCTCACCAAAACTGGGATTAACCTGGGACTAAACCTGGACCAGACCAGGACTAGAACAGAACCAAATCAAATTAAATTGAGAGGTTTACAGCCAATCCTCTGTCAATAAAAACATGTTTTTGAAGCACAGTTCAGACTTTGGAGAAAGAAATTGGACTAATGTTTCTGTTAAATTCCACTAATGAAAACTCCATCTTGTTTATGCCCATTAAATCAAAACCGAAGGCCATTTTAATTTTGTTTTTGTGACGAAAACTCATAATCAAATCAAAACTCCTTACTGTTTTGTGTTTTTCTTTCAGGTTCGGAGTCTTGCAGTAGCGTCGGCTCCTCTTCCAGCTCCCTGTCCCGCCCCCAGCTCCCGCCTCCGCCCTCCTCCCGCCCGGTGATCTCCTCCACACCCACGATGCACCCCAACAACGACGCCAGGGCGGCCGGACACCACGAAATGATCAAAAATGTCCCTCCTCAGCCGCCGTCCCTCAACGAAACTCCGAACTACTACATCCTACCACTGGAGACCTCTGGGATTCCTCCTGGGAGCGTCCTGGTCAACCCACACACAGGTACGATGTTTTATTTATGCTTGAATGTTTCACAGTGTGGCATTAAACCTTTCTATCTCCATGGAGACCAAACCAGATCAAGTTACAGGTCAGATCTGTGGAGAGGCGACCCCGCTCACAGTCAGAATGCCTGTTTTTCTAAGTGTTTTTGAGCTTTAAAACCACCTGCAATTGAATAAATGTAAGGCAGAGCTGTTTAATGTCATATTGTGGAACATTCCAGGCAGAGTGATGACATCTCTATAGAAACAAGCAGGTGGCAGATCCCCAACCAAAAAGTTACATAGTGCACCTTTAAGTAAAAGTATTAATGTATGTGTTTAAAAATTTACTTAAAATGAATGAATGAACCTTTCATAATTTAGACCTGGTTTAGACCTGGTTTAGACTTGGGTTAGACCTGGTTTAGACCTAGTTTAGACCTAGTTTAGACCTGGGTTTAGACCTAGTTTAAACTTGGTTTAGACCTGGGTTTAGACCTCGTTTAGACCTGGGTTTAGACCTAGTTTCAACTTGGTTTAGACCTGGGTTTAGACCTGGGTTTAGACCTAGTTTAGACCTGGTTTTGACCTGGTTTACATCTGGGTTTAGAACTAGTTTAGATCTGGGTTTAGACCTAGTTTAGACCTGGTTTTGACCTGGTTTACATCTGGGTTTAGAACTAGTTTTGATCTGTATTTAGACCTAGTTTCGACCTCATTTAGAACTAGTCTAGACCTGGTTTAGACCTGGTTTAGACCTGGTTTTAGACCTGGTTTAGACCTACTTTAGACCGTAGTTTAGACCTGGGTTTAGAACTGTGAAACTATCATTCTTGATTTTCATAATTTAAAGGTGCATTGCGTAACCTTTTACAAAGAGGGGCCAGCCAACTGCTCAACTGCTTGTCTCCATGGAGATCTTATAATGTTGCACAGTCTGGCATTAAACTTATCTATGTTGCATTTACTCAATTCTGTCTGCTTTTATTGCAACAAAACCTCTAGAAAAACATACATTCTTGCTGTGAGGGGGGTCGCCTCTCCACAGATCTGACTCGTAACTCAGTCTGGAGGCATCACCTGCACCTTTAAATGCAGAAACATACATTTTAATGATAGTTTTTGTATTTTAACCTGGACATGTCGCTGTTTTAGTGTTGGTTTAGCGCTCTAATCATTAAAATTATTATCATGTTTTGTTTTGTTTTATTTTACATCTGTGTTGGTTATTAAAATCCTCCTCTCCTGAGAAAAATTTGCAGCTTACATCACCGGTATTGAGTTTATCTGTTAAGTATTCAGCTCAGATCTTGCTAATCAGAACAGATCCAACAGATGGGTAAAACGTGTAAATATTCAGCACCAGCATCAGCTTCAAACACGGCCAGACTGCTGCGAAAACACAAGTTTTTGGGATTCTCTTGGCAATTACTCTAAAATTTCATGTCTGATTTACATTTTGTTTACAATTCTTTGTTTATTTATGTGTATTTTATTTTAGGGAAGCCGTTCATTCACCCCGACGGCAGCGCTGTGGTGTACAACCCGGCTACAATCGCTCCGAACATGGCCAGGGGCTCTCAGCAGAAGAATCCTCAACAGCCAATCCAAAGCCAGGGCCAAGCGCAGGCAGCCAATCATCTGCACTCTCAGGTGAGTGGGCGGGGCTTAGACCTGTCTCGAATGCACTGATTGGTTTAGCTGCGGTTTCATGGTTTTGATTTGAGAAGAATTGAGAAGAATTGCCCCAAATCTTCAAATATTAAATCACATCTGAGTGTTTTTTTTTTAATGAAGTTTATTTTTTATTTTGAATGATTTGTCCAACTACAACACAAAATCACAATATTACAATTACCATTACGATTAAGACGCTCATGGTTTAGACCTGGTTTAATCCTGGTTTAGACCTGTGTTTAGACTTAGTTTAGACCTGGTTTAGACCTGGTTTAGACCTAGTTTAGACCTGGTTTCGACCTGGTTTAGACCTAATTTAGACCTGGTTTCATCCTGGTTTAGACCTTGGTTTAGACCTGGTTTCGACCTGGGTTTCGACCTAATTTAGACCTGGTTTCATCCTTGTTTAGACCTTGATTTAGACCTAGTTTAGACCTGGTTTCGGCCTGGTTTAGACCTTGGTTTAGACCTGGTTTTGCCTGGTTTAGACCTGGTTTAGACCTAGTTTAGACCTGGTTTCGACCTGGGTTTCGACCTAATTTAGACCTGGTTTCATCCTTGTTTAGACCTTGATTTAGACCTAGTTTAGACCTGGTTTTGACCTGGATTTTGACCTGGTTTTGACCTGGATTTAGACCTAGTTTCAACTTGGTTTCGACCTGGGTTTATACCTAGTTTAGACTTGGGTTTAGACCTATTTTAGACCTAATTTTGACCTAGTTTAGACCTGGGTTTAGACCTAGTTTAGACCTGGTTTAGACCTAGTTTAGACCTGGATTAGACCTAGTTTAGACCTGGTTTTTACCTGTTTTAGACCTGGGTTTAGACGTAGTTTAGGCCTGGTTTAGATCTGGGTTCAGACCTGGTTTAGACCTGATTTAGACCTGAGTTTACACCTAGTTTAGACCTGGTTTACACCTAGTTTAGACCTAGTTTCGACTTGGTTTAGGTTTAGACCTAGGTTTAGACCTGGGTTTAATTTAGACCAGGTTTAGACCTGGGTTTAGTTTAGACCTGGGTTTAGTTTAGACCTGGGTTTAGTTTAGACCTGGGTTTCGTTTAGACCTGGGTTTAGGTTTAGTTTTAGTTTAGACCTGGGTTTAGACCTAGTTTAGACCTGGGTTTAGACCTAGTTTAGACCTAGTTTAGACCTGGGTTTAGACTTAGTTTAGACCTGTTTTAGCCTAGTTTTAGACCTGGTTTAGACCTGGTTCAGACATGATTTAGACCCAATATGATACTTTCTTTATCCTTGAATTTCACCTTTTTCCAACTCCATCTTCAACTTTCATTTTCAGTTTTAAAATGTCATCTTAAACTCTTCAGACTCTCTGTACGTTTTGAGACTTTTATCCATGTCTTTCTTTCTTTCCTTCCTAACTTTCTCTCCTTGTCGTCTCTCTCCTGTGTCCTCTGTCCGTCCGTAGCCCTTCTGTCCTCTTCAGTCTGATCCTGTCCAGTCTTCAGCGGTCTCCTATTCTCTCGCTCCGTCTCAGTACCTGCCTGTGTGTCCTACCCAACAATACGCCGTGGTACAAACTGATTTTTACCCTTTGTATCAGTGTCTGTGTGTGTGTGTCTGTGTGTTTGTGTGTGTTTGTGTGTGTGTGTGTCCGTCTCTGTCTGTGTCTGTGTGTTTGTGTGTTTACCGTGTAACTCTTTAGTCTTGTTAACATTTAAACCGATTAGTGGCTACTCAACTTTGACCCAATGTTCCTGAGCCGATGTGTAATTAGGACTGTTGCCATGGAAATTAACAATTAAAGTAAATCTTTTGAAAGGTCTTAAGAGCTCAAAAGGGCTCGTAACACACATGGACATAGGCCACAGAAAAACTGGGACTAAACTAAGACTAAACTTGGAACTAAATCTGTAATGAAACATGGACTAGACCAGGGCTAGAACAGGACTAAACTATGACTAGACCAGAACTAAACCAAGTCTACGGCCAATGTTCTTGAGCCAGTGTGTAATTATTAGACTTTAGAGACACACGCTCGCAGTGTCTAGTCTTGTGTGACAACTTAGATTAATTAATTAAACCAAATATTTTATATAATAAAATGGTGTTTCAAAAGGGTGTGTTCACACATGGACAAAAACTGGGACTAAACTCGGACTTAATCCCAAACTAAACCAACACTAGATCAGTACAAGAACTGGACTAAACCGAGACTAAACCAGGACTAAAACAAGACTAGACTAAGGCTGGGCTGGGTTTAGACCAGGTTTAGAAAAGGTTTAGACCAGGACTAATCCAAGACTAAACAGGACTAGTCCAACACTAGTTCAAGACTGGTTCAAGACCAGACCAGGAATAAAAACTAGGTCTGCACAAGGACTAATCTTGGACTAGACCAGTACTAAACCAGGACTACACCAAAACCACATTGGGGACTAAACTGGGACTAAACCTGGACTAAACCATGACTAGATCAAGTAGATCAAGACAAGAACAGAACTGAACCGAGACTAAAGCAGGACTAAACAAAGGCTAGACCAGGTTTAGACAAGGTTTAGACCAAGACTAAACCAAGTCCAAACCAAGAATAAACCAAGTCTAAACAAGGTCTAGTCCAAGACTACTTTAAAACTAGTCTAAGGTTAGACCAAGACTAGATCAGGAGTAAAAACCAGGTCTACACATGGACTAAACTTGGACTAAACCAGCACTAAACATGGAGTACACCAAGATCACATTGAGGACCAAACTGGGACTAAACTAAGACTAAACCAAGACTACACCAAGACCACTTTGAGGACTAAATTGGCCTCAGAGCCGGACCAAGTCATATTAAGTCTGAACACATCCCAAAACAGCAGGAAAAAAGCGTTATTTAAATCAAAGATGGACTATGTAACTTTTGTCATTCCTCGGCCTGTAATATTCCAGTGTATGGCATTAAATAGGTCTCAGTAGCACGTCTATACCTATTTCAGATTTTCTTCAGTCTTTTCCTTATTTTTAATTCAGCGCTCGGGGCAGAGTCGGGGGTGAGGCTAAACTAACCCCATTATTCTATATTAACTATTCAATAATGTCTGTAAAGGTGTGTTTGAATTTTCTCTTCGTATATAGATCGAGCGTCGCGTTGACCTCATTTCTGACCTGGTTTTTGCTCGCAGACCCGCCGTCATGGCTAATTATGCCTCCAGAACTGCCATTAATATTTCATGTTAGCACCAGATGTTAACGTTTGAATAATCCATGTTCAAAAACTGCTATTTTAATCCGCGGAATCATGTCGGAAGTGACCTCAAAACGGCGTCCAGTTCTTTCAAAATCAAACAATATCTAACTATAAATACTCACGTTACCGTACTCGAGTAGATTTTTGAGGTCATTGGACTGTTTTGAGTAGATTTTTTCAAAGGTGCACTGCGTAATATTTCTAGTGGAGGGTCCGAAACCTGCTCGTCTCCATGGAAATGTTATTGCTGTGTCAGTTTAGACCTGGTTTAGACCTGATGTTTAGACCTTGGATTTAGACCTAGTTTAGACCTGGTTTAGATCTAGTTTAGACCTTGGTTTAGACCTGGTTTAGACCTGGATTTAGACATAGTTTCGACCTGGATTTAGACCTGGTTTAGACCTGGTTTAGACTTGGTTTAGACCTGGATTTAGACCTGGTTTAGACCTGGTTTAGACCTGGATTTAGACATATTTTTGACCTGGATTTAAACAGTTTTGTCCTGGATTTAGACCTAGTTTATACCTGGTTTTGACCTGGATTTAGACCTAGATTTAGACCTGGGTTTAGACCTGATTTAGACCTGGTTTAGACCTGGGTTTAGACATAGTATCAACCTGGTTTAGACCTGGCTTTTAGTCCTGGTTTAGACCTGGTTTTAGGCCTAGTTTCGACCTCGTTTTGACCTGGTTTCGACCTGGATTTAGACCTAGTTTTGACCTGGTTTAGACCTGGGTTTGGACACAGTTTTGACGTATTTTAGACCTGGTTTAGACCTATTTTAGACCCAGTTTCGACCTAGTTTCGACCTGGGTTAGACCTAGTTTCGACCCAGTTTCGACCTAGTTTCGACCTGGGTGTAGACCTAGTTTCGAACTGGTTTAGACATAGATTAGACCTGGTTTAGACCCAGTTTCGACCTGGGTTTAGAACTTTGAACTACAACTTTGGCTGGAGTACTTGTAATCGAGTACTTTATTAGCCATGATACTGCACTTTTACTTTCAAATTTCCAATCCTCTTTCCACCTCTGCAGTAACTCCATCTCCTGGGTCAGACCTGGATTAGAACTGTTTGTTGTTTACACCTTCAAGTAAAAGTCAATGCAACCTTTGATTTAGCACTTAGCTTGAGAGGGACCATCACGTCGCCCCCTGGTGGTTTGGCTGTATCGATTTTGGGTTTTGCGAGCGCTCCAACAAATGAAAATACACTGTGACCTATGGGCTGTTGATCGCTGGCCTTGTACCCGTCTGTGTTCATAATGACACGAGCTGATGTTTTTAATTTATTATCTGTTTAATCCCTATTAAACCCTGATCTTTCCCTACACACTGTATTTTCACAAACGGAGGACGAGGTTAATTAAAAGTCATTATCTTAGCCACTTGAAGCCAGATAGTCCTTCAAGTATTTGTACTGTATTCTATTAGAAGCACTATGAACACTAGACTAAGACGGCTGCCTTATACCAAGCGAAATACAATTAGAGTGACCAGAATTTTAAAATAAAAAACTGGGACACACTCGATTTGGGAAACTAGTACGTAAGGAAAACTGTTATGCACTTGGTGAGTCAGTATAGTCACATTTTCTTTGTCTTTTGGCCATTTTTAAGCAGCTTCTCTGTATTTTACCGGACTAAACAACAATTTATGCTTATCTTTACTGTTGACAAGTATCAAACTGGTCAAAAATAGGGACACCTGTGACATTTCTTGTGTAAAACTGGGACAAATTGTTGGTTTTGGATAAATCTGCTGGGACAGGGGACTCAAAACTGGGACTGTCTCGAGTAGGGGGTGTAGCAATAACCAAAATATTGTGATATCGTATCATCAAAAATCTCTCAAGAATATCCTGGGCCATCAAAATATAACAAATCACAAGTTTCTTTGATTAAATTCATTGTTATGGTGCAGCAATAGCTAAAAAAAAACAGATGGAACTACATAGACCATGATCCTTTGCTCCGTTTTGGTGCAGACTACATGAAGAAATAGTTATAAACACTTGTAAGTCTTAGTTCTTTGGATTAAACCACAAAATATCGCAATAAATTCCGTACTGTGAGATGTATATCGTGAAAATATCGTACTGTGAGATTTCGATATCGGTACATCCTTGAATCGTCTGGTCGCCCTGAATACAATTTATAAATAGTTTCTCATTAAGTTACAGCATTTTGGCAAAAAAATAAAAATAAATACATCTTACATCTCTATGGCAACGGTCTTAATTTTCTGTCATTCTGAAACCCAATTGGAAGAATGTAAATGTAAGTGATTAAAACAGGCGGCTAAGCTAACAAAGGCTAACACCGACAATATTACACTCACAATTCGCTTTATTTGTACATTTTCTCTATTTTAAAAGTCTTCAGCTTAGTTCAGAATGTATTTTATTTTAGAAAATTTCCTTGCACAGTAGAAATTAGTATTACCAACACTTCTTTTGTGAATTACAACCAAAACTCTGTGTTCATTAGCGCGCAACCTAACTGTTAGCATCACAACTTCCTGTCCAGTTTTATCTCTGTGTTTGTTTGTTTTTTGCTGAGTCATTCTACAGTGAATAAATATTTAAAAATAAAGCAGTAAACAGGGAGTTGTGGGTGGACATCACTGTAAACATGTAAAAACTACACAAATAAAATGAAAAGAAGTTTAGAAAGAGAGATGTTTGTGTCTCAGTGCTAATGCTAATGCTAATTTTGAGGCATAATAAATGTTAACAGCAACAAAACTGAGATATTTTACACACAAAAACAGTCTGGTAGTCTTTATTGTAATTAATTTGGAATTTTAATAGGTTGTTTATGTTATATTTTAAGATTTTAATTAAAGTGACTCTTAGCTTTGAGTCAGAGTGAGCTAACTAGCAGGTTTTTTTTTTTGTATTTTTTGGTCTTTACTTAACCCTATTTATTTATTTTTTCCTCATTTTTTTAGCCTGAAGCTCTCAACGCCCAGTTCAATCAGATGAGCCTCTCTCAGCCCGGACAGAGTGACCCCAACCCCCCGGCCCCAGACCCCCGCTACTACCCCGCCGTGTACCACCACCACCACCACGCGCCGCCGCACATGCTCCTGCAGGGGGCGCCACCTCAGCAGATGACCAGTTACGTGGTGACCGGACCCTCGGCTGGACACGGGGGCATGATGGGTACACAGAGTCTGCCCCTCCACGCGTCCGGGCACAACCAGGGCTACGCCAACAACCCCACCCCAGCACCAGGGGCCTTCTCTGGGGCCATGCTCAACCAGCCCCTGCTCCAACAACACACATATATCCAACAGCCCATGCAGCAGGTACAGAAGAAATATATCACACTTACTCAGGTTTCATTGTTTTTATTTGTTTCAGTCAGGAAAGATGAACACAAAATAATTATGTTCATACATCAATGTGAATGAAAAGGAGCAGAAAGAAGTATAGACCTGTCATATCTGCCCCGTTTTTCACACAAAGTAAAACAGCACTTCAACACTTCCAACTACATTTATAAGCAACTTACTTACACGACATACACAATATTAAATACTCATTAATTAACACAAAAGGACAGTTCATGCATCATACTTTTTAGCATATCGTGTTTGACATTTCTTTTAAACACTTGATGGAAACACATATTTCATTGTTGTTGTTCTGAACCTGGCTTTTTTTTTTTTTAAAAGATTTTCAATTCCTTTCAAATTATAATGACTTTCTCTCTTTGTGAATTTTTTTGGAGATTGGTGGGCAAGATCTGCTATTAGTCAATATGACATAGTAATACACATAGTAGTAGCAGTAGCAGTAGTTGTAATAATTATAAACCAGTAGGACACAGTATTGACAGGTTAACTAGCAAGGAAGACGAGCAAATGTAGTTCCAATACTGATGTTGATATGAAACAATACCGGTGCAGACGCTGGTAAAACAAACAGCTTTTGATAAAACTGGTCCAGATGTGTTTGGTAATTGTAATTGTTATTTATCCTTTAAAGTAACTAGTAACAGCTATGAAAAAAATGGCAACTTCAATATTACATTTTGAGATTTGATACTGAGTAAATCTTATTACACCAATTTAAAGCCCAAATCTTGAAACCATTTTCTCATCCTTGAAAACGTTCAATATCTCTGTCAATATCCGATACTAGGGATGGGCATGATTAATCGATTAATCGATAATTGATCATTAAGAATTTCATCGATTACGTTAATTTTAATCGACAAACCGAATGTAGGTTGCTGTGCGTAGCGTGACCAAACATGGGTCTGTACATGTAGTCTCTCTGCACTCAGAAGGAGCGAGCAAACACAAACAGTCGGTCAGTCTGCAATGTACCGAAGCACAAATGCGTGTTTACCGATGACTTGTACAAGAAATTCCACACTTTCTGTTGTGTTCGGGACAAGTGTGAGTCCATGTGCACAGTGAACAAAGCAGCACATATGTTTCGGTGTCCAGTGGGAAAAAGTTTTGCCAGGTGAGAGTCGCGCAATGTCGATGACGAGTCCCAACCTCCCACCTCCCGTACGGTGTCCTGGTTTTGACAAACGTAAATCTGGTCACACTAACCTGTATTCCACTGAATCATGTCTTTTCATCCGACAGAAATTGAACCACATCAGCGACACAAGAGCTGTAGTTTTATCTTCGCTTAGTTTATGCAAATTAGCGAAATGTGGTTTTAAGTTTTGTTTCTGTGAGAGTTGCGCAAAACTGTATTAAACACATTATAATGTCAAACGGGCTGATGTGGCTCTAGAGTCGTTACAGTTTATATGTCGTAAAGTTGAATTTATTTATGCAGATTAGTAGTGCAGATAGTAATAATAATCGATGATCATTTTAATATAAAAACGTTAATGATTAATCGATAATCGATCGTTAATTCTTCCGATGATCGATTACGAAAATTTCATCGAATGCCCATCCCTATCCTGATACCCAATTCCAGTATCATATCGGTGGATCCTCGGTGGTAGTGGTTGCTGGTAGTAACTCAACCATTATCTTTATTATATTTTTTTTTTATATTATTTTTTCCATGGGGCCACACAAGAAACAGAAAATATTATGGATATTATGCTTAACTAAAGTCTGCTTAATATTAATTGTATTTCTTTATAAATAATACGGATGTAACAATAACTGAAATATCGTGATATTGTGTCGTCAAAAGTCTCGCAATATATCGAATCACAAGTTCCTTCGCTTAAATGCATGGTTTTATAGTAGCAACAGCTTATGAACATCGGGAACTACATATCCCATGATTCATTTCACTGAAGACAAGATAAAGAAATATGTTTTTACTTGAAGTTTTGGGATTATGACAATAATAATTCACACCAAACTCAAGGCATTTTAAAAGCAAAAAAGTGTCCCATTTACAATTTGATTACCCTCTTCAAAATATCGCAAGAAATATTGTACCGTGAGATTTGGATATTGTTACATCCCTTGTAAATAGCATTGTTTTGATGAGCTGGTCAGACTAGTAAGAGTTTATGTTATGACTAAGCAATGAAAAAGTGAGGCTGCCTTACAAAAAATGTCATTAAAAAACACCTTTAAAATAAAAAACAATGCGCCTATAGTCCATGTACGAGGTAAAATTATGAAATATGTTTATTTTTTTATTCCAAATGAGCTTAAACGGGCCGGTCAGAGTCAACCAAAGTGTCGTATATGATCAATAAAGTTAATTTTTTCATGTTTTTAAGACAGTAAAACTCAAATACAGCTGCTTTTAATTGACCCAGACCTCCACCAAGGCATTGCAAGTTCCACCTGAATCATTTAATCTGTACTGAAAAATTAAGATTCAGAAGATAAGATATAGAATTTTATTGACAGCAACCTTCACGAGAAAAGTTACACAGTGCACCTTTAACGGACTACAAAAAACGAGCAGTAATACTCGAAATCTCTATTGAAATTTGATTTAATATTACATTTCTTCTTCTTCTTTTTTCCCAGGTCTCGGCGTGTTATTGCTCCTCAGTGCACCACCCACACTGTGCGACCCAACAGCAACAACAAACGCACCCCCAGCAGCAGTCTCACTACCGCCCCCCTGCTGTCAACCCGTACAACTGCACCCAGACCCAGAACCTGCCCCCACAACAAGGTACTACGCCCACTCCGGTCCACACTCTCTCACTGTATATCATTCACTGTTAAATTATGAATCAGGGTTTTAATTATTGATGCTGTTGACTTGATCGTTGAGAGAGACGAATATTTAGTTCAATATTAGCATAAAAATTTAAATAGTAAACAAAATAGTAGAGCTAAAAAAAGGTTAGATCGCGTTTTAATTACTCATGAAATTTGAAGGTGTGTTGTGAATCCGTGTATCATTCATTCATTTGTTTTTCAAAATAAAATCAAAAATAAGAAAATGAAAAAAACAACTATTTTCTTTATTATTTGTCTTCAAAACCAAAGTAAAATAAACAAATAATGATTAATTTTTTCAGTTTTTCATTTTGTGTTTAAGTGAATAATTTCCGTTTTCGACACTTCTGGTTTAGTCCTGGTTTAGTCCTGGTTCAGTTCAGGTTTAGTCCTGGTTTAGGACTGAGATTGCGACCAGACCAGGACCCAGGACCAGGATTAGGACTGAGACCGGGACCAGAAATAGGGCCAGAGCAGGACTGAGACTGGGATCATGATCAGGACTGAGACCGGAACCAGAATCAGGACCAGAGCAGGACTGAGACCGGGACCAGGATCAGGACTGAGACCGGGACTGGACCACGACTAGACCAGGACTGAGACTGGGACCAGACCGGGACCAGACCAGGACCAGATCAAGACTGAGACCGGGACCAGACCAAGACTGAGACCGAGACCAAATCAGGAGTGAAACTAGGACTACAACCGGTTTAGACCTGGTTTAGACCTGGTTTAGTCCAGTTTTAGTCCAGTTTTAGTCCTGGTTTAGTCCGGCATCGCAGTTTTAAGTCACGGAAACGGGAAACGGCCGTTATCCGTTTTTTCCATTAGTCATTTAAACACAAAATCGAAAACTGAAAAAACTAATTGTTATCTGTTTTTTCATTTTGGTTTTGGAGACAAATAATGAAGAAAATAGTTGTTTTTTTCATTTTATTATTGGTTTTATTTTGAAAATCAAATGAACGAATGATACACAGACTGTGCTTTTTCTCCATGAAGATGCTATTGCGTTGTCTGAAATATTTCACAGTATGGTATTAAACCTTTCTATCATCATGGAAACCAAATTAGACCAAGTTAGAGGTCAGATCTGTGAAGAGGCGACGCCGCTCACAATCAGAACACCTGTTTTTCTTGGTATTTTTGAGCTAGAAAAAACACTTGTAATTGAATAAACGAAAGATTAGAGCTGTTTAATGTCACACTGCGGAACATTCCAGGCAGAGCAATGACGTATCCATGGAAACAAGCACATGACGGACATAATGCGCCTTTAAATTAACAGGATATTTCAGAAAACAGTAAGAAAATTGATGTTATAGTAGCGATAATTTATAAGTTATAATACGTTTCCTGCTACCCAGATTTTAATTGAGAATGTTCCACAGTTTGGCTTTAACTCACCGAGGCGCCCGCTGAAAACTACTCAGACATGTGTGAATGAAACGAAACACAAGTCAATTGAGCTTAATATAAAGGGAGTTACGCAAATGAACGTAACATATGCAAACAGCGCCGCGCAATCATCATCTCTTCTTTCTTTTCTGTTCTTTTGTTTGTTTTTACGACTTTCCATACATCTCCACGGGAACCATCGACTTGATTATTCCAGTTTTGTTTTTCCCCATCACCGCAGGAGTTCTTTTAGCTCGCGTTCACACACACTCACACACACTCACACTCACACACGGGCGTATTTTTGAAGCACCATTTTGTCTAGTGCAGTCTCCAAATGTTACGCTCCCTGCTGGGGACTGAGACATCGGACAAATGAAGCCGCCCTACAAAGCCAAAGGACAGCAATTATTTTTACGGAAAAAAGTGGAGGAAAAAGTGGCCGCGCTCCCTCTACTCCCCCTTTTCCGCTCGCGAATTAATTTAAAACATACATAGGAAAGGTGAAGGTGGTGATTTGGTTTCCGCGCATAATGAGTCTAGTTCTGTTGTTTTGTATCGGAGCCTTTCGAAGTTTTACAAGAAAGTTTTAAAGGCAGTGTCGCAAAGTTTGAGAAGTAGGAGAGAGAAGGAAGGGCATCTGATACAAAATATATACGGTGATACTTTGCAGCAGATGTCATCAGTTTTCTCCCACAGACCAAGTAGCATTAGTCCCCTGATCATGACAAATAAAACAATTAAAATACTATAATTAGACATATTAAGCCACTAAAGGTACAACACGGCAACTAAAAGAAATAATGAAACAGCATTAGCCGACTTCAGACATGTCAAAGTCAGGCCTGGGGACCAAATTTGGCCCACGATATAATAATATTTGGCCTGCGAGATCATATCAAACATTTATTAGAGCTGGCCCGCCGGCTACTGATAAACTATAGAGGCATTATTTATTTAAAATGTTGTTATTATTTTATATTTTGCTTGTTCTGGATTAAATGTTTGAGCAAAACTGTTTTTAAACATTAATTTTAATAATAAAAGGTTTAACATTACCTCAAAAGAAGAGAAAACATGCAGATGTTGTTGAAATTTTTCAGTAAATATTTAGTTTGGCCCACAACTTAGTCACAGTTTTTAATTTCGGCCCTCTGTGAATTTTAGTTTGACACCTAATTTTACGTGGCTTTCTGAAAAATAACTCAAGTGCCCGATCATAAGGGATCTCCTTGGGGTTCTGGCTCATGTATTGCCTGGTGGGGACCCCGGGCCAGGCTACCCTCTAGACCGTGCCGGGCTTTGTTGCTGGTCGTTCAATATCGCTGTCAATATCCGATACCCGATACCAGTGAATATTGTGCAGGGCCAGGCCAAAATGCTTAACTCAATTCTGCATAATATTAATTGTATTTCTTTATAAAAAGCAGTAAATAACATTGTTTGGACGAGCTGATCAGACTAGTAAGAGTTTATGTTATGACTCAGCAATGGAAAAAGTGAGGCTGCCTTACAAAACATGTCATTTAGTGCAGCTTTAGTCCATGTATGAGGTAAAATTATTATTATTATTTTGTAATTCTAAATGAACTTTAACAGGCCGGTCAGAGTCAATCAAAGGACTGTATATGATATGGTATATGATCAATACAGTTCTGTTTTTCATGTTTTAAAGACAGTAAAAATCAGGTACAGAGCCTTTAATTGACCCAAGTTCAACCTGAAGGCTCCTAGACTGTGCCAGGCTTTGCTGCGGGTCCGAGTGTCGAAACGGGCCCGGAGGTGCGCCTGCGTTGACCTTCAGGTGACTGCAGGCGAAAGGACTGGCGCAGATCTCCACGCCCCACGGGGCTAAGCGCAGCCGTCTCCCGATTGCATTTTGCGGACACCCTGCTCCGCTCGAGGTCCCGTCCCCGGAGGCTCAGGAGGAACTGTTTCCCTTCTCACCGCTGCGCCGTGGGCAGAGTCGCGTCTGGAGAGCAAATAGGGCCAGTGGTTTATAAGTCTACCCTCGTTGGGATGTATGTGTATCTCTCTCTCGCTCTCTCGCTCTTTCTCTCTGTGCGTGTGAGCGAGAACGACAGAATCGTGTTGAAAAAAAAAAAAAAAAGTGGCTTGGTTTTGATTCTGTGTCGCTGCGTCACACAGATCGGTCTGTCTGCTCTGTCTGCTCTGGCTCTGTGACTCGAGTTAGACTTTAATCTGCGTTTTTGCTTTTGTTTGTTTTTGTCGTCGCGTTTGATGTGTGCGTTGCGTCTCCATGGCAACTGCTGAATTCACTCCACCATCGAGACACACGTAGAACACCCCCAGCGTGACGTCACCGCAATGTATCAGTTCATAATTATCTGCGTAACAGGTTGGAGTGTTCAACTTCTACTATAAACTATTTGTAGGGTTTGTTGAAGGACTTCCGTCTTCTTAAAGGTTCACTATGTAACTTTTTGGAGGTAGAGTTTGGTACCTGCGTCTTCTTTTTACCTGTAATGTTACACAGTATGGCATTAAAATCTTCTACCTTGCATTTATTTAGAAATTGAGCTTAAAAAATGACAAACAGTCGACTTTCCACAAACTGTTGACTACGACCAAATGACATATTAACATATATTTGCACTTTATGTCATAATTTAGACATTTTAGCTTCATAATTTCAGTTAAATTATGTTTTAGACAGAAAATAAAGGACACAGCAGACGCAAATTTCGAAACAGAGCTCTAAATAAAACAAAAACCCTAACCATAACTCTCACAAAAATACTAAAATGTTCTTCGTAGTTGTCGTCTTGTGTGTCTTGGTGAACCAGTAGACAGACGAATATTAATAAAAGATTACTCAAACATGTGTGAATGAAACAAAACACAACTTGAGGTGTTTTTTTGAGGATTGTAACATGACTAAAAGCACAAAAGAGTCAATTTGTGTAATATAGGACCTTTAAAATGTCAATAATGCTTCTTATTTAACCACGAAACCAACCAAAAACTGTAAATAGTCTTTTGCTTATGAGAAAAACCACAGCTATAACATGAGGGAAGGTTTGTACGGTGAGAAAACTGCATTACGTCTAATCTGATTTCGTTATGAAACCCCAAAGACAGATCACAGATGTCACGCAGCAGGTGGCTCTTATACATGACAGTTTTTTTTTCAAAAAGACGGTTCAGGTGAAAAAATAATTATCTCCTCTCGCGGGTTTTCTCTCCCTTTTACATCAGAGCAAAGTCAGGGGTTTAAGCTTCCATTGTGACTTTCTTCCCCCGCCCATTTGAAAGATACAGTATTTAGCTTTTTAAATTGTTCATCGCTACGGCAACGGTCCTGTCGTTTTAGTATTTATTAGTTTAGCATTAGTCTGGGTTGTGTTGTTTACATTTTGGTGTTTTTTTTGTCAGTTTTGTTTCATGGACATTGGTTTAAGACTGTCATTATGAAGCGTTTCTTTGCACGAGAATCAGGAAGTGCGCTGTTAGCATGCTAGTCATTGTTTGTTTACCGTTACAGTGACGGGAAAAAACTCAGCTCTTGTGTCTAAAAGTTGCGAAAAACGC